GAGCCCGCGCTCCCCGAGCCCGAGCCGCGAGCCCGAGCCGCGCTCCCCGAGTCCGAGCCGCGCTCCCCGAGCCGCGCTTCCCCGAGCCCGAGCCACGCTCCCCGAGTCCGAGCCGCGCTCCCCGAGCCGCGCTCCCCGAGCCGCGCTCCCCGAGCCGCGCTCCCCGAGCTCCCCGAGCCTCCCCCTCTCTCTCTCTCCCTCCTCTCTCTCTCTCTCCCTCCCCCTCTCTCTCTCTCTCACTCCCCCTCTTCTCCCTCTCTCCCTCTCCATCTCTGCCCTCTCTCTCCCTCTCCCTTCCATCTCTGCCCTCTCTCTCCCTCTCAAGAAAAAAAACAAAAAAAAAACTAGAAAACAATAAATTTGGTACAAGCTTAACCCAAATCTTCATCATTCCTAATCGCATTAGAAGACGGGCTTGATAGTCGACATCTTGTTGTCTTTTGCAGCAAGCTCAAACATCTGAAACATAGATTTTAAAAATCAGACAATGATATTCACTATCTCTAAACAAAATAAGATCTGAATCAAGAGACAGAGACTTAGGAAGAGAATGGAGACGGCGGCCATGTAAACTGGAGCTCCACCACCGAGTCAACGAGTGGTTCTCCCGACAGGGAATTGGAGACCATCGGCTTTGATCGATTTTTGGAAACCGGTTTGGTCATTGGGCCTCCGAAGCACTTCTTCACTTTTCTGGTGGTTCACCATTGCACAGAAACGGGATTGAAAGATTACAGAGAGAGAGTTTTAGTGGAAGGAGGGTTGGAGATTTGTATTTTGACATTAGCGGTTTTTCTTCTGTTTTTTTATAAGCAGACATGATATTATTGGGAGACGAAGGAAGGGATAATGTGTTTGGTTTGTTTGTCGGAAAAGTTGTGTTTGAGTTCTGATGTGTTGTATATTTATAGAGCAGTTTGCTGGCACCTAACGTAACGGCTATAATGCTATATTATTATTTATTTTTTCTGCAACCCATAACGGCTATATATTTTTTTCAAAGCCAAAACACTTTCTTTTTGAATCCAGCCGTTAGATTGTGTTAAGCTTTGATTAATTGTCCCCTAACGAGCACAAAGGAGTTTAGGGTGTTTTTTTTTTGTCTTTCTCCTTAGAATGAAAAAATGTGGAAACTCTGCTTCAAAACCAGTGCCAATAATACGGACATTCATTTCCTTTTCATTTTTTTTTGTAAGATCTTTTGAACATTTGTATGTATTTGATAAATTACTCATCAATCAAAATAAAGAAGATTGAAAAAAATATAAAAAAATAGCAGTACAATACAACACAAGACCTATTCTAAACCCTGATCAATCCCCCACCATCACAAAGCATTCTTTTAAAAACAAAAATTATAGAGGAAAAAACCAAAGAAAGTCTTTCTTCAATTTTCCTCTCACCTAACAATAAAATCTTTGTTGTTGTTGTTGTTGTTGCAAGGTGAATGCTGAATCTGGAATGAGCGGTGCTTCCATTTAACCATCGATTTTCATCCCATCATCATCACCATCAATGAATGCAGAATGCTCAATCATAGCATGACCAGAGATAGCTCTTTCTTCGCTGACTCCGTCCAACGAGACTCCATCAGGATTCAGGAACAAGAATAGTATCCATGTTCAATTTATCAACAGGACTCTGTGAGACCCCGTGGCCACTATTTGATGGCAGCATTGATTTATCTTCCGACTCCAACTCAACCTGCATATCAACATCAGAAGCTGCATCTGACTTTGTACATCTTATCAGTCCAAAGGATGTAGCTGCTTGATCTTGCACCAAAAGCCCCTGTCCCTGGCTGGTACTGCATTTCCTCAGGGGACAATCGTTGTAGGTTCCACTTTATTGTCATCTTCAGATATCTCAATTTGGTGATTATCAACTGATGAAGCTGAATCAGGCATACATACTTCAGAATCTTGACTCTTACAGTGCACTGGTGCGTCAATCATCTTAGCTGTAGATGGCTGAGTCGAAGGTTCACTTCCAAGAATATCATTGAGCCGGAAACCATGTGATGGCAAGCCTTTACGATCAGATGTGACATCAATAGCCTTAGAGGATTTGTGCGCCACAGCATCAAAAGCCTTTGCGAGATCTTCCAAGAGCATGTCACCTTCGCCACTTGAGAGAGGATCACATTTCATGAAATCACCAGACAGAGGTTGTTCGAGGCTAAAGGTATCATCACTAGAAGAAAGTAACTCAACCTTGACACCTTCTTTGTGAAACCGCTTCTTCTTCAAAATCTTGGCTATCATATTCCTGAAATCAAATTAAAAGACAATAAATATCAAGCTCTGCATCAGACAAGTACAATTGCTAGAAGAACTGAATACATACCTACAGTTCTTTGAAATGGCAGCTCTGGCTCTTTCACTAGAGAGTCCAAGCAAAGACATGAGATTGATAACATCGTTCGGACCTCTAAGCTCTGTAACTGAAGGAGAATCACTCGATATAATCAGATTCTTCCCTTTAGTCCAATCCACCAGTAACTAGTAATCCCATATCACAAGAACGTTTAAGCATATAACCATAAAACTCTTTAACATAATCATCAACTAAGCATATAAAAGAACGTATAAAAGAGCATATAACATAGTAACTACGCATATAACATAATCATCAACTAAGCTTATAGCTACTCCAACCACCAATAACTAGTAACGCCATATCACAAGAACGTGTAAGCATATAGAAAAAAAAAAACCATTAACATAATCATCACTAAGCATAAAACAAGAATGTATAAGCATATAACACACTCCCACTGTTTTGTAGAGATATATTTTTGTTTAAAAAAAGTATCGTTTTATAATTTAATTGCAGAATTTATTAACTTTAAATGGTCTCTATTGTGTATAGGACCATAGGTAGTAGTGTTTTTATTTAGAAAATATGCAAACAAACCTAAAACGACAAAGTAAAATGAAACGAAGGGAGTAGTAACTACGCATATAACATAAACATCAACTAAGCATATAGCTAGTCCAACCAACAGTAACTAATACTGCCATATCAAAAAAAACGTATAAGCATATAACAAGAAGATTCTCAACATAATCAATGTGGATAACTGCAGCCTGATGAATCAGAGTTTCTCACCTTAGCGTTGGATATAACTTGTCTCCTCTTCTCTGCATCCTTCAAGAGATCACAGTACTTGATCTCAAAGTAAACCCCTCGCTGCTCATTAAAAACACACACAGTGAGATACACACAAACACACAGAATCTTCTCAAAGAGAAACAAACTCTAAATCACAAACCTTAACAGCAGCTTTAACCAACGGATGCATCAATCGAAACCCCAAATTCGAGAAATCAATCGAAATAACATCAACCTACAAATGAGAATCATCACAAACTCTCAATAACAAACCTTAAGAAAAAAACTAAACACACCTCAGCTTCCGTACACGCGTGATCAAACGCGTACTGATTCATCGGCCTAACTGCAACGATATCGTAGCTTTTAAGAATCGGATTCGCGGAGTTCAAGCTCATACACTGAGCCTTACTCTCTAACTTGACGGTTACGCGAGTGTACTGACGAAACGGAGTGGATCGAGGGACGCGGAGTAAGTCGCGATGGAACGCGACGGATGATGATAGTCGCGGAGAGGCTTTGATGAGAGATTGGAGAGTGAGGAGAGGGATCGTGCAAGTGTCTTTCTCTGATAGTACGTTTCCGATTGAATTGTTGTGTGCGATTCCAATGTAGCCGAGTTCCATGGCTTTCGTCGCGAGTTTTACGCGGAGTTTGTTTACGACGGTGACTTCTTTACCAGATGATGAGGATGGGAAGGTGTACGGTATGTTTAGGTCGAAGAACGTCATGACGAGAGAGAGAGATACGACGGAGAGATCGATTTTTGCGATTAGGGTTTAAGCATTTGAGTTTCCTTTTTGTTTACGTGTCGTCGATTTGTGAATTTAATTTACTTCGGCTTGTGTTAGCTGATGAATTTCAGATTTTCGTTTCGTAATCCAAACTTAAGCCCAATAAAACATCTATGGGCCTATAGGTGATACTATCTGCAACATTCTGAAAGGTAATTTTTGTCATCGTTTGTGTTACCTATGTTTTTTACATGATAACAAAAATTACTTCACGCTACTAATTGAGAAATCACATTATATTATGTCACGATTGGAGCAATCAAACAAATAACTGTAGTGAAACAAACTCATTAATTACTAAGTTTTGATATTTGTTCCTTTCTCCAAAAAAAATATTCAGCATAGTTTTCGACTATGATCAGAAGATTACTGGAAATCAAATAGTTAATCAAACTTAGAACTTGCCCAACGAATTTAGGTTTCTAGAGAATATTATTGCTAAAAACGAAGACTTCCAATACTTTCAATCTCAACGAGATAACATAACTTTCGAAACATATCAATCGCAATAATTACAAACCGTAAAATTGCAAAACGAAAACGATACTGCAAAAAAAAAAACAAGAAAATGAAAAACTAAATAATATTCTAGGAGCTGGTAAACTTCGTGACGGCCTTAGTACCCTCAGACACAGCATGTTTCGCCAACTCTCCAGGAAGCACAAGTCTCACAGCGGTCTGAATCTCCCTAGAAGTGATTGTAGGCTTCTTGTTATACCTCGCGAGCTTCGACGACTCTTGAGCTAGCTTCTCGAAGATATCGTTGATGAAACTGTTCATGATCCCCATGGCCTTGCTTGAGATTCCGACGTCGGGATGAACTTGTTTAAGCACCTTGAAGATGTAGATCTTGTAAGTCTCGATGCTCTTCTTCTTCATCTTCTTCTTCTTGTCTCCGCCTGCGCCGGCTTCCTTCGGGAGCTTTTTTCCGGCCTTTGGTTTCTTCTCCGCCGGAGCTTTCTCGGCTGGTTTCTTCTCTGCGGGCTTCTTCTCTGCCTTGGGCGCCATTGATGATGATTTTCTCTCGAGGAAGTTAGGAATCTGAGATCGAGTTCGGTTAAATGATATTCTACAATGAGTAGAGATGATTTCTTTTTATATGGATCGGACGGAATGATGTGATTGGTTGGAATAGCTTGACGCGGATCGATGTTTCTACCGTTGGATCTTGTTTTTAAAATAAAAAAGAGATCGACGGTCTAAAAGGAAGCTTAAAAAGATGGAAACCTTTCACAAGTGATACACTTGGTGGCGGGGACTGTTCACGTGGCGAGTTTGGCGCACTTTAAGCTTCCTCGTGAAATTTTCCTTTCCCGCCCCATCCCGCCTTCTTACATCGGCCCATTTATAGCAATGAGTCCAACCTAAGGCCCATTTTAAATTAGCGAGACTGAGACGTAACCTTCTCCACCCGAACCGTTCGGCTCCCAGATATCCCGGTTTGCTGTTTAGAATATCAATGTGAACCTCTTTGACGAAGCTCCCTCGCACGAATACTTCACTATCAAACTCTCATTTGCGACATAGATGCAGAAATCTTATCTCTGTATTTGAATTGAGGATATATCATCCACCATGTAACAAAGGAATCATTTGTACACAAGAATGCAAACAGACACAGCACAAACATTGAGATAATTTTCAATAAAGATGAAACATTGTTGGGTAACAAAGACACAGAAGACAGACGAGATAAGATAGGATGAAGAGCGTTATGTTTTTATAACAGTCACAAGAAACTGTAAAGAGCCAAAGAAGCTTATTCAAATAGAGAGACATAATATTGTTTTAGTTGACACGGCTTTTGAAAACATCAAGATCCATCTCAGTTGGATCAGTAGCTTGAAGCTCCACTTGAATTCCATCAAGCTCACGCTTGAACCTGTCCTTAGAGCTCGCGTAGATCATCTTGCTTCTCACCTTCGCAACATCAGGACACCTTTTTTAACACAAAACAACATGTCAAAAACCGAGAAAATGCAGATGGTAAAAAATGAGAAAATCTTAAATTTTGTTTTTACCATGCAATGAAGAAAATCTTGCTCTTCTGGCAATTCTCAGCAGTGACAAAGTCGAAATCATAAATCGCGTATCGGCACTCTTCAGCTGGGAGGCTAGCAGCAAAGTCCTCATAGGTTTGGATAGGTTCACCGACTTTCTCAACAACCACTTGCTTCTGCTTCTCCTCGATCTTGTAAACAATGAAACGGTGCGTCCTCTTCGCCTTCAGTTCAAGAAACCTTAGCTTGCAGTCATCATGGACTGCCATTCCCGACGCCGCGTTAGCCTAAAAATCATTAACACACAGCAACAAAATCACACTAAGATTCACATCACAATCACATTTCCAGATCCATAGGCTATCTACACGATGTTAAGACTAAGGATGAGTCTACTCGTTCAAAATATCTCTACAGTAACTTCAATTGCAACAAGATTCATCACGAGAGATGAGACTAAATCGATTTCAACAAATACAAACACAAGAAAGCAACAGATTCTTCCATGATTCGATTCTAACTAGCGAAGCACTACAGAGTTGTGAATTGTTAGTCGGATTAACCTAGATCGGTACCGTAGATCGCGCGCACACAAACAAAATCTCAGAGATCTAATCGGAGAAAGCGAGTCTATCTTCTAGATCTAAGTGATCTAACAGACTTTGAATAGCTAATAAAACAAAGGAAATGAGAAGAGGAAAGATCGGAGAATCACCATGGGTGGATCAAGACGACGATGTCAAAAATGATTTGATTACTGCTGAAAGGAGACGCAGAGAAGACGAAAGTGTTTTTCTTCGAATATGACTCTTTTCCTTTTTCTTCGGCGTTGTTTGGAAGCTAATATATAATCCTGATTTTTATTATTGAGAAAATTCATTCAACCTGCTTTATATATTCTTCTATTTATGAACTAGTACTATTGTATATGGTCAGTTTTTTTTTTGACATCACTATTATGGTCATTGGTCAGATTGTTATTTTGTGTTTTAGTCAGCTTATAATATGAACTGTAACTATATGGTCAGCTTATTTGATTTTTGACTTTTAGTCAACATATAATATATATGAGATATAACTATATGGGTGAGCTTATTAGATTTTGTCTTGGTCAACATATAATAAACATATAACCAATTTAAACAAAGTATATATGATCAACAGAATATATAATTTCTAACTAGGTTTTATTATGATTTTGTTGCATCAAAAACTTAAGAAGATGTTGGCAGCAGCCAACTAACTTGGAATCCTAGAATTTACATCATTATACATAGCAAATGATCAAACTCCTTATTGATGATAAAATGTCCCAACTAGTTTTTGTTATACTCACCAATTTGTTTTACTGAAATGACTATAAAACGAAAGTTTAGGATATACAGACTAGTGTTTATACATAGTGGTGTCATGCTAATATAACGTACTAGGCGCTATGTGAGGGATGAGTTTATTTGTCATGTGCTAATAGGATGAGTTCATCTTTGACGAGGGATTTGGGTTTCTTACACAATGGTAAAATAGCACAAGTCAGATCTCTTAAGTTTTAAGACAACACTGTAACTGTAAGGACCAAAATAAAGACAGACACCAAAGACTGATAAAAAATGAAGATGTTTTGGGTTGGTGCCGTCACAGCAAAACGTTAAGTAAAAAAGCATACCACACGGTATTAGTAGATGAAAGAAGTTCGATCCAACCGTTCCTCAATTGACTCGGCTTTTGAAAACATCAAGATCCATCTCAGTTGGATCAGTTGCTTGAAGCTCTACTTGAATCCCATCTAGCTCTCTCTTGAACCTGTCCTTAGAGCTCGCGTAAATCATCTTGCTTCTCACTCTTGCTGTGTCCGGAGACCTTGGCCAAAAACAACAACCATTTTTTCAGGAGAGTGTGATAGACCGGTTTTAACAGAGTGTATTACGTAAGTTAACTAACCATGCAATGAAGAAGATCTTGCTCTTCTGGCAATTCTCAGCAGTGACGAAATCAAAATCGAAAATGGCGTATCGACATTCATCAACAGGAAGACTTGCTGCAAAGTCATCATGTGATTGACCAGGCTCGCCGAGTTTCTCAACAACCACTTGCTTCTGCTGCTCCTCAATCTTGTAAACAATGAAACGGTATGTCCTCTTCGCCTTCAGTTCCAGAAACTTGAGCTTGCAGTCATCGTGGACCGCCATTCCTGACGCTGCATTAGCCTGTTGCCATCCAAATAAAAGAGGTTAAGATCCGACTCACTTCAACAAAAAATAACACACACATACACACTAGTAGACTCTACACCCATCTCCTCCGATGAAACAGCTTGAGCTAAACATCTTTAGTAAATGAACAGATACACAGGTAACTTCCACAACTTATTTAGTTTGATAGAGTGTAGGATAATAAATCAGATGACGCCATCCATTAAAAGAATCCAAAACACATGAGAAATGAACAATCTGCACTTGCATATCAGCCATAGACTAAACTAAATGGATCATCATCATCACTGGTAGGCATAACCCTAAGATTAAAAGGTAAAAACACATAGAACAAGCAAATTTTCTCTTGTTTTCACTATCATTTGGTTTAATCAAAACAAGCACAGTGAGATTGTAGAGTTCATCGTCTGATTCGTATCCTAGATAAGTCATTCCGAGTATACAAAGCCCCGAAATCTAAGATATCTAAAACCAGCGAGCTAATCTATCTCCAGATCTGAGCAAATTAAACTCTAGGCGATAACTGAAATACGAAAAAAATCAGAAAAGCGAGACGAAATGGAACTGGAATCGAGCTTACCATGGCTGAGACGAATGATGAAGTCTTTGTATTTTCTCAGGTGTGCGTCTTTTCTCTTCCTTTTCATGCGGATATTAGTCGGAATGATTATATATGTTTATAGAGGTTTTTAGTTAGGCATCAGCACTTTTGATTTTTATTGTTTTTACTTTTATCATCTCATTTTATTTTTGTTATTTATTTAATTTTAAAAATCTTAATCCTCACCATTCTCCATCTCTCAAACTTCAATCTTCAGATCTAAACTATAAATTTTGACTAATTATTCTTTATGGATATAAGTTTACCTATTTAGTAGAATATTTTGATAATTTTCACTTTTGTGAATCATAGTTATGATAAAAAAAAAATATTAAGGGTCATACAAACGATTTATGTTTGTACTTATATCGTCATTAATTTTTTATACTTATGCATCAAAACATATGATTCCATAATATATTATTATATTTAACTATTAATTATTTAATAAATATTGATTCTATTGAAATATAAGCACAAATGCCCTGCAAAACTTGTGTTCAGTTCAAAGAGTCTCCTATCATTCTATTGTGTGTTCTAAGTTTTAACTTAGTGATCAACTTATTGTATAATTCGTGTTAGACTCATAGTCTACTAATAATTCCTGATTAATTTGAGCGGATATATCTTTTCATTTTAATTTTGTTTATAACTGTTCATTCATAACTGCTTAAGATACATTTTTGTTTATAACTACTTTCATTTTTCTACCAATAATAGCGATCCTAATTATTCAAACGGATACGTCTTCTCATTTTAATTTTGTTTATGACTATTAATAATCGTCTAAGATACCTTTTCGTTTATAACTTCATTTTTTAAATTGTATTTTTAATTTATATATTTTGAATTCTTTTTATCATGTTTTGTTTTTATTATGTTTTGTGTGTTTCATAACCTTATATTATTTTTCCCATATATCATAGGTCTTTTTAAAAATCTATAAATTTTATCATTTCGCATTTTTTGTCAATTTTATTATTTTGCTTATAATTTATTTTTAATAGCAATTCTGATTAATTCAAACGGATATGGGTCCCCAGGACCGGCCCCGCGGCCTCTCTTGGGTGGCCGGTGGCTCAGCGTATCCCAGCCTGGAGGAGGAGGCGGCCAGGAGCTCGGAAGCACCCATCTCGGGCTCGTCTCGGGCGACCCTCTCCCGTCCCAAACGAACTCTCTCGGGCGGCGGCGGCCCCTCCCATACCCTCTCTCCCGGGCGTGGCCTCTTTCTCGGCCTCTCGCGGTCTCTCTCCCGCCTTCTCGCGGTCTCTCTCCCGGGCGCGGCCTCTCTCTCTCTATATATATATATATATATATATATGAGAATATAGATCAGTGATGATGAAATTATTATTCATCCGCTTGATTGTTGTTTGAGAGAGAATCAGAGGTTTTTTTTATCCTTGGAGATTGTTCTGGAAATGGAAAAAAATAGCTTCGTGTTTTGTCTGTTTGTCGGCGTACAAATCAGTTGGACCTGATTATTTTCAATCGGATTAATAATTGTAAACCCAACTTACCATTAGTTTGTATACCGACAAAAAAAGATTAAACTGAGACACACTATCTTATATTGTCAGGAGATTATAAACAATTGGGCCATAGGCCAGAATTTAAATGTATAATATTTTTTTTGTTCTCTGTAACATTATTTGTAATATTATGTGTCCTAATAATGTTATAATATATGAAATCAAATCATGAAATTTTAATGAAAATTCTGTAATTGTGTTGAGTTGCTTAATAAACAAAGTTCATGATTATCTTGCTACTCAATGTATGGAAGAATATAGTAAACACATACAAACGACTGAGCTGCTCCAAATGGCAAAAACACAGCACAAAGAGGCAGCACCATCATCTGGTCAAGAGAATCTACTTTCACCTTTGGAAACTACTACATCACAAGTAAGGAAGAACTTTTCAAAATATTTATCAGCACTTTCTTGTGGAAACCTCTGTGCACATGTTGTACGTACAACTTCCATCTTTTGATATGATAAACACAGTGCCAAGGTCCTCCTAGAAAACCAGCAAACAAGACAGCATGATCTCGTCGCCCTGGTTCTCACCGCAGATATAAGACAACATCAACTCAGAACGATGAAAAAAGAAGAGCAGAGAACAAAGCTGAACTTGAAAAGTGGAAGGTCAAACAAGCTCAAAAACATGCAAAAGAGGAAGAGAAACCTAAAGCCAAACAGTCCAAACCGGTGCCGGCGAGAAACAGCAATCATACAGCTAAAAGGTAAGATGACTTCTAGAGGAAGAGAAGGATAAGAAGCAGCATCATCTTCAAATCTTAGCTTTTCTTGATACAAGACAAAAAAAAATATGCATCAAAAGACACTAAATTTGTATTTGTATTGAAATAATGTTTTGCAAACTGTTGCTACAAAAAAAAATTGCTAGTTTTCAAGTGTTGGCTTTGGTTATTAAAAAAAAAACTACTCCTTATCAACTAAGCTGGAGACGACAAAGTGGACACTTTTGAGATATGAGCCAACCCTGTCCATCAGTTCCGATTCATAACGAGTCCTCTCATTTTCTATTGTCTCCAGCGGAACAAAAACTCTGTTGCGTCTCCTATGGACATTGGTTTTGTTATGCGTCATAAGTAACGTGGTCAATTTCCCCCCTTTGGAGTGCTCTTTTCCGGCACAGTGTTTTCGTGTTGGTGTTTTTCAGTCGTCTTTGGCGTGCGGTCTTATTTTATCTTTGGGTTTTATCCGGCGAGAAGATTGGCATACTGTGACTAACATGGTGAAAGAGAATCACATCACATGCTCTTGGTTTTCACTTCTTTTGTTGCAAAAAAAGATGAAGAAGACGTTGCTTATATGTGGAGATACATTGTCGAAAATGAATGTGAGTTATCACTCTCTCAAAGTTTATAATCCTTTTCCTTTTTTTTCTTTTTGTCTTTGATAACCTTTCTTTTGCTATTATCCTATGTTAAAATATGGTTTTTGATTGTCTCAAACAAAATTTATGCATTTTTACTTTTGTCATTTACTTCCAAAAATCTGTTTGGAAGATGACCATTTCTAAAACCAAGACATTGTTAATTTTCATAACCATCTCTGCAAAATGCAAACTTGTGGTATCATTTGAAATATAGTAGTTAACTAAAACATGCTAAGTGTTATACGGTAGATGAAACCTCTATCAATTAGCTGTAAACGCGGACGATATACAGTTAAACCTCTATAAATTAATAATGTTGGGACTTCACCAAAATTTTATATTTTTATTAATTTAGAGAGATATTAATTTATCGATATATTAATCGAACAAAAAACTCAATTTAAAATTATAAATTATATTATTTTATAGAAATATTTAGTGTATATTAATTTATCGAGTATTAATTATTATAAGTTCTACTGTACAGTGAAACCTCTATAAATTAATAATGTTGAGACTACACCAAAATTTTATTTTTTTATTAATTTAGAGAGATATTAATTTATAGATATACTAATTGAACCAAAAACTCAATTTGGGACTATAAAATTATATTAATTTATAGAGATATTTAGTGTATATTAATTTATGGAGTATTAATTTTTAGAAGTTCTATTGTAATTTATTTTATGTAAAGATTTTGATTACCCGCGCTTCCTAGTGTAAATAAAAGTAAGGAAAGCGCAAAACTTTCAAAACAAAGACACAAAAGTTGGCGCGATCGCCAAAAACAATAAAACATTTCTGATTGGCCAATACGAAAGCACGAGGATCGCTATCTTAGTTTATCCTCAGCCGTCGATAAGACAAAATCTAACGGACACAAACCTCCCCCTTTTTTCCCTCCCTCTCACCTATAAAAACCACACGGAGATCCGAGAAAATAAAACATCACAAAATCTCATAACCTCTCTAAATTTTCTTCAATCACACTCGCCTTAATCGATTTCACTGCAATGGAGACTACAAAAGTGAAGAAGGGATTCGGAGGAAGGAAAGCCGGCGGACCAAAAACCAAATCAGTTTCGAAATCAATCAAAGCCGGTCTCCAATTCCCAGTTGGAAGAATCACTCGTTTCTTGAAGAAGGGACGTTACGCTCAGAGACTCGGTGGTGGAGCTCCGGTTTACATGGCCGCTGTTCTTGAGTACCTCGCTGCTGAAGTAAATAGTTTATTTCTTCAATTCAGATCTGTTTATATTTACATAGAAAATCATTTTCTGATTTTAAATTTTTTGTTGTTGTTTTGATTTAGGTTTTGGAGCTTGCTGGTAACGCGGCGAGAGACAACAAGAAGTCTAGGATTATTCCGAGGCATCTTCTTTTGGCTATTAGGAACGACGAGGAGTTGGGGAAGCTTCTGAGTGGAGTGACGATTGCTCACGGTGGTGTGTTGCCTAACATTAACTCTGTGCTTTTGCCTAAGAAGTCTGCTAAATCTAGCGAGGATGTTGCGTCCAAGTCACCAGCCAAGTCTCCTAAGAAAGCTTAAGCCATAGAAAGTTGTTTTCGTTTGTGTGCGTTGTGTTTGGTGAATGCATATGTAGAAATTTCTAGCTTTTTTAGTTAAGTAATTTGGGTTTGATTTCTTTTCGGATCTATCTTTTATAACGATTTATTATAAAATCTTTGCAATTTGTTTCTCTTGTGTTTACTCATTACTAATCTACCGCAGATTAATAATTTTACACTTTATGATTGTTCTTAAACTAAGATAATAATTGACCCATTCAGTCTTTGGAAGAGAATGTCAAATTTTCTGTAAGTCCACAGTACTTAGTAATGCATACTTTGGAAAAGAGTAAGAGCGACCAATTGTTGTTTAGTTTCATGGTCGTTTTATCTGTTTAGCAAATACTAATACGATATTTAGTTAGTCGAGATTCTTGTTTAATCTTGTCCTAACTAATAATGTGTCACTTCTATGTACGCCACTTTATTAGTATTTGTTACGTAATAGAAGATAGACTAGGTTCCTATGCACTCCAAGTGTGTGTAATAGCCACAGAAAGTGTAAAACACCAAAGCCTCTTTACAAAAAAAAAAGTGTAAAACACCACTACTGGGCTTAGCTACGATACTAATGAATCTGTTTTGAAGAATTCGAGTCTCGTGCTATTTGCTTAGAGGCATATGAATATGTCTGGTTTGAACACAACGAACATTCGAGCAAAAAGTTTTGCTTCTTATATATAGTCACATACACTGATACACACGTCCTGACTTTAGTTTGTCTGTCTTTTGTTCAGTTGCTCAAAAACAGACACATCACAGTCCAAATATGCTTAACCTAAACAAGGTTTACATGAGAAATGATTGTAGACTTTTCAACTGAAATGAAATTTCAGACCTCTAACCATAACTCAGGAAGCTACATTCACTCTTTCTAATTGCAACAGGTGTATAATGGTTATGGTGAAGAGTCTTAACTCGTTTTGTAATGACTCTGTGTGTTCTCTTCAACTTTTGTTGGTTGTGCTTCTATATCCTTCGCAGCCTCTACAAATATCAATCTGCCATCAACAATCTGGAAACAAATAACCAAATGCAAAACTCAGTCCCAATTTCTGAAACATAGTCACTAAGATTTGATACATTCCCTGAATTGATTTAACTTATAAGATCAGATCAATTTCACATCAAAATAGCATGAATGAATTGTACAGTAACTCAAGTGAAGAGTTAGATGGTGACCTTGCCATCCATAGCTTTCATTGCCTTTTGAGCATCATCCTCAGACTCAAATGTGACAAAACCGAAACCTTTAGGTCTCTGAGTTTGCGAATCCTTAATCAGACGAGCTATAATAACACAGACACAAGACATAATTAGCTTAGACAACCAATCAGAGACTGAGACATTACAAGTTAATACCTTCTCTGATATGACCAAAAGGTGAAAACAGCTGTCTTAGCGATTGATCTGTGGTGTAACCAGAGAGTCCTGCAACACATACCATATCGAAAAAGTTAATTAGAGAATAAAATGGTAACTGAGAAATTTCTGAATCTGAGAATGAGAAAGGAAACTATCATACTGCTGACGAAGAGCTGTGTAGTGAACCTCTTAGCCATTGTGATTGCTTTGCACAGGAAGAAACTTGATGCAGAAACACACTAGTGAAACCTCTTGTTGCGAGCTTAAGCTACAAAGAAACGGCGGCGTTTCGGAAAGGATTATATCGGCTGTAGGGTTTCTCTTTCAGCAGCTCATCCATTTACCGGCATCCTTCTTTCTTATGTCAGTCAACCCACGATATTGGGTTTACAAAAGGCCCAATAAAGTCAAGCTTTAATATCGTTGGGCCCATTAAATTAAACCTAGATCCCTTTAACCCTTAAAAGAGTCTCAAAGCCGCCGGCAAAAACCCTAAATTTACATTTAGTCTTCTTCTTTAGATAGCTTGAGAGATTTGAGCGGCTGCCACTTCGATTTCAAGGTTAGAACATCCTCTTATCTGCCATCCTGTACCTCGTGTAAAATCTCTGTGGACATTTTCTTAGTTTGTAATAAATTTGAGCTCATTTGATAATAGCATACTGATACTATTGGAACATGATACGTTTTGATTTATCGATTCTCATTAGGTTCTAGTTGTTTCCGATCTAGTACAGGAATCAAATTCGTATTAAGATGCCACCATAGTAGAAATGATCTGTGTAGTTGTGTTGGTGTAGTTACTATCACTCTCTTGCTGAGATTATCTTTGCTTTTGTGTTTTTGTTTTAATAAAGTTTGATTAAGCGTAGAGTTGTTGTTTTGTTGTTTGGTTTCAGTTTTTTTTGAGCTTTGAAGAATGGTGAGAATCAGTGTACTTAACGATGCTCTTAAGAGTATGTACAATGCTGAGAAGAGAGGGAAGAGGCAAGTTATGATTAGGCCTTCTTCTAAAGTCATCATCAAGTTCCTCATCGTCATGCAGAAACACGGTACTGTGCCAAATCTTATTATTCATTTTCGTTTTTTTTTTAAATGTTTGTTCTGTTTTTTATTTCATGTTTCATGAAACTGCAGGTTACATTGGTGAGTTCGAGTACGTTGATGACCACAGGTCTGGCAAGATTGTGGTTGAGCTTAATGGGAGATTGAATAAGTGTGGTGTCATCAGTCCTCGCTTTGATGTTGGTGTTAAGGAGATCGAAAGTTGGACCGCTCGTCTTCTTCCTTCCAGACAGGTCTGTCTTTAGTCTTCTTATGTGTTTTGTTCCTTGTCGTGTTATTTGTGTCTGACATTGGTTTTGTTGAACTTTTGCAGTTTGGTTACATTGTTCTGACAACTTCCGCTGGTATCATGGACCACGAAGAAGCAAGGAGAAAGAATGTTGGTGGCAAGGTTCTTGGATTCTTTTACTGAAAAGTCATGAAGATCGTCTTTGTCCCGGTTTATACTTTGCTTCTCCTTTTGGTGAGATGAGGAAATTCGATGAGAGTCAAAGAGGGTAGTAGAGTTTTTGATGCATTTCTCGGTTTGTTTTCTTAGATAATATGCCTATTTTGTTTGTTTTGCGCAAATGTAGACAGTAAGACATTGCTTATTTTGAGCCAATTATCTATCTGAGACATTTTATCTTGACTTCATTAAAAATGTGTACCGTCTTATTTCGATGGTTTAATCATCATAATCAAATTTCTTATCAGATATTGTCAAGGTTATATACTTTTTAGTACATTATATTAACTTATCGTTATATTAACCAACAAACGGTAAATATATAATGCGCATAAATTAAAGTTACTCTAATAATTCAACCAAGAATTCATTTATTGTCGGGATTTGTTGTATTAAACAAGTTATTTTCAAACTCATTATTTCATTTGTCAACCATAATTGTAATATTTATGCGTAAATATAGATATAATATCATTGTATTAAACAAGTTATTTTCAAACTCATTATTTCATTTGTCAACCATAATTGTAATATTTATGCGTAAATATAGATATAATATCATTGGATGATCTTCGTGATATGATCAAGGACATTTAGGTTGGCCTTTGGAGTTCTTCAGATCGCGGTAACAAGGACATTCATCTTTGTTTCCATATGTGCCTGAGGGAACACAATAGTTACACTTCTCGCAACATATATTGCAATACTTGAGACACCGATCTTGTCTTCCTGCCTTTGAACATCTCGTGTTGCATTTTCCGTCGCATGGTGCTAGTTTATGTATCATTCAAAATACAGATTTTAATAAATTTTAACCAGCAAGATTAAAAACATATAGTATTTCTTAAATAAGTAAATCCATTATGTATACTTACAGGCTTTTGAAAGCATGAACAAAGAAGATGAGAGGAGTAGAGAGATGATGAAGAATTGTATAAGAGATGATTTCATCTTCATTCTTAGTGAGGTTGAAATCACTTGAATTTGATTCGATAAGGTTTGTTACTTTGGGAGGATTTTTTGAATATGAAGGACAAAGGCTCAGGAATTTCCGCACAATGCAAAAGAGGTGATGGCTTGGGAGAAAAATGGGGTTGCAAAAAGAATTATATATAGCGATTTTGTTGAGTTGGTAAAACGTTTGTTATTGGTTGTGTGTAAATTAATTACTTAATTGATTTATTGTTAAGTAGGCATGTTGATTTCAAGTTAATGCCAAAGATTCGCTTTGAAGAGTATTATTTTCATTTGTTTGTGTGTGTCCAGTTGTCTTGGAAAAATTTGGAAAAATACACTAAAAAAAAAATTATAATTAGATTAAAATCCACGTGCGCGAAATAATAATACTTAAATTATATTTATGTATTATATGTTTGTTTATATTATATATGTATTGGATACTTAAAAAGTTAATAACTATTACATATATAATTAATTTGTGTGAATAAGTTAATAAATTTTATTAATTCAAACAATTACTTATCTACTCATTTAATTTGGTTTTTTATGTGAATATGTATTATACGTTATTTGTTTTTTATATACCCATCAAATAGTCATTGTAGTTGTAGAAAATCTTAGAAGTGGGTTTGGGTTTGGCAAAGAAAGTAGCTTATAAGCATATATATATATCTATAAACCCAAGTTGCCTCATATTTTTGTATTTACAAGTTTATAAAAAAGGCCCATAACTCCATAAGCCTTCACGCTTTCTGGGCCAGACTATGCTCATATCTCCCTCTCTTCGCGGTCCCAGATGCTAACTTACGCTTAAAGAGTAGCTTATAAGCCTTCCGCCGTTACAATCTTCTAACGTTGTATTCTCTCGACGTTATAGATTCGATGACTGCTAGAGCTAGAGCCGATTACGACTATCTCATCAAGCTTCTACTCATCGGTGACAGTGGTTCGTATCTTTCCCTCATGATCCAATCCATAAAATGTATCCAATGTGTGTGTTTGTGTGTTTGTAAGTAACCTAGAGGTTATGGTGTGGTGCAGGTGTGGGTAAAAGTTGTTTGCTGTTAAGATTCTCTAATGGATACTTCACCACTAGCTTCATCACCACCATTGGGTTTGTTGTTTTTTTTATTTTAACCTAATGACTGAGTTTAAAGTTAATTATGAATGTGATGTGATGCAGAATAGATTTTAAGACAAGAACAATTGAGGTTGATGATAAACGCATTAAGCTCCAGATTTGGGATACTGCTGGTCAAGAACGTTTTCGTACCATCACCAATGGTGAGTCATCACTCATCACTTGCTTCAATAGTGTCCTTAACATACGTTTTCCCACTTTTAATTGAATCAGAGAGGATGTGAGACCTTCTTTAGGTATGATCTAATAGTATCCTTAACATGCATTTTCCTACTGGAAGTTGAATCAGAGCGGATTAAGAGTCTAGTGGGGCCTTCTTTACATATTTACCACGTGCTTTAATAGTGTCCTTAACATTCATTTTCCCATTAATATTGATATAGAGAGGATTTACTAGACGAGTGAGAGACCTTCTCTAGATATGAGCTACTTGATCTAACTGTGTTCTTAGCATGCATTTTACCACTGCAAATTGTATTAGAAAGAACTAAGAATTGAGTGAGACCTTCTCTACATATGAGCTATTTGATCTAATAGTTTACTTAACATGAAATTGAATTAGAAAGGACTAAGAGTACAAGAGTCGAGTAAGAACTTCTTTACATATGAGCTACTTGATCTAGTATTGTCTTTAACTTGCATTTTCCCACTGGAAACTGAACCAGAGAGGATTAAGAGTCGAATGGTATCTTTTTAGTTTGTGCAGTCTACTTAACGTTATGGCTAATGCTGTTTTTGTTCAGTAAATGTTTTGAGGATATTCAGTTGTTTAAGCTAATAAGCACCTCTTTTTGTTTTGCACCAGAATTTATTTTTACTTACTTTACACTTTTGGCAGCTTATTACCGTGGGGCGATGGGTATTTTGCTGGTATATGACGTCACTGACGAAACATCCTTCAACAGTAAGTTTTTTTTTTTTTTCTGTTCTACACAAAAAAAACTTTGGTCTTACATTTCTGGCTTATTCTTGACACCTTATTTGCAGACATTAGGAACTGGATTCGTAACATCGAACAGCACGCTTCGGATAATGTCAACAAGATCTTGGTAGGGAACAAAGCTGATATGGACGAGAGCAAGAGGGTACAGTACACGCGAGTTACATTCACACGGATTTTCAACTGCCTGATTCACGACTAATCTCAAATTAATAGCGTTTTTTTCAATAACCTTTTTTTTTGCAGGCTGTGCCAACATCAAGGGGTCAAGCACTTGCTGATGAATATGGAATCAAGTTCTTTGAAACAGTAAGTAAAACATTGTCTCATCAGAAACAACTTATCATTAGTTTTTGCTTACAATAATAGCTAATAAGTCATTTCACATGTCAGAGTGCTAGAACAAATCTGAATGTGGAAGAAGTTTTCTTCTCGGTAGCGAAAGACATTAAGCAGAGACTCACTGATACTGACTCGAGAGTAGAGGTTATTAGTTACATCCTGTTACATTCTCCTTCAGCAAAAAATGCTTTTAAGAAAACCTCTTTTCTGTTTGTAACATCTCCACCGTTAATTGCAGCCTGCGACAATTAGGATGAACCAAACAGACAAGGCTTCTGGATCAGGACAACAGAACTCTGCATGCTGTGGAACTTAAGAAACTGATTTGTAATGAGGGTAGTAGTAGAATCTTGAAGAAACCATATTGATTGTGTGGATAGATTGTAAGACTCTTGCTCATAACTAAATACCTCTTCTTAGCTTTTGCTTTCTCTGTTACATAACCAGTTCTTAAAGCTTTGTAAAGGTTCTCTATATACACAATTAAAGCAAATACAAAGAGAAGTTTATACATTAAGATTCAGCAAAAAGTTTACAATCTTACAATTCTCCACATAATGTAATATGAATACAATCAAAAGCAACGCTCTTCTTTGCCATAGATACGCTGAAGTTCCCTAGTTGCTGCTTGGAATGATTCTGTACAAAAACAAAAAAAACAGTTTACAAAATCTGTAAATGCAAAATCAATGAGGAAGAAGAAGAAGATTTGAACCTTTCCATATGCGGAAAGCTTTCTGGTTGATAGGAGAACCAAAGACAGTCTGAACAACATCAAACAACATAGTCTCTGGAGTATTCCTAAGTTCCTGAACTATCTGATAAATAGTCTTCCCGTTCTCAAAGTAAATATGATTGTTTGGATGCTTTGTTTTACATCCAGCATGTCTCTCAAATGCATACGCATTAAGCACCTTTCAATAACCAAAATCATTAATCAGTCAAGGTTCCTCAACAACGAGAGCTTTTTAATGTTGACTCACCTTTGTATAATCGCAATCTTGACATCCACAGAGATAGCCAGACCCTTTGATGACTCCTCGAAGCTCCTGAGTTTCAGATTGTTACAAATACGGCAAAGCTTTTAAACAATTTGAGATGAGAGGACACTAAGTTTTTTCTTTACCTCACGAGAGAGAGCAATGTACTTCACAGGAACGCCATCGAGCATACCAGTTGATATCAAGCTTCTGACATTTGAAGGAAAGCTTGTGGAAGCTTCCTTCTTTGACGTCTTACTCTTTGGAAGACACTCCAAACTCTGTTTACTCACTTGCTGTTGCTGTTCACTTACAACATCGCTGCTCGTCTGCGCGGTTTCTTGACCATAAACAATATCCGATCCTCCAAGTGGATCTTGAACATAAGACTGATAGTTCCCAACCACATTAGAAGTGGAGTCAACAACACCAAATGAGATCCCATGAGTGTCCTCATTCCCATAAGGATGATGACTCTCAATTGCAAAATCCACAAAACTACTACCACTCTCGTTCTCTCTGCCACAAGCTCTAATCGAAGACTCCGACGACTCCATTTTCCTACCATCTAGTAAACCACTCATTGTCTCCTTGACACGACTAACTTGAAGCTTCCTACTCCCATCACCACCACCACCACCACCACCAAAACAACTTTCATTAGATATAGACAACTCAACAGACCTATCTTCCATAAAACTCTTGGGTTCTGTTCTATGATCTCTATCACCAAACAAAAGTGGTCTAGGCATCTCAGTGCTGCCTAGAAGCCTATCCATGAACTGGGATTGAAAAACAGATGAAGTCTCCCATAGAGGAAGACCTCCTCCTACTACAACATTTGAGGATTTCCCTGGCTCTTGCAATACAGCTTGCTTCTTGTTAGGGAAAGTCTCGGAGCGAGAAGAGTCGTTAAACCAAGGATGAGGACGCTTTGGTGGATGATCATTATACCCAGAGTGTTGTTCTTCCTCTTCCTCACTTGCATTCTCATTGTTCTTCAGAACCCAGAAACCTTTGCTTTCATATGACTGAATAAAAAAGAATCAAAAGTGGAATATATAAGTTTCCAAATTAGGAAATGTAAAACCCTAATTCAAAGACTTACCATCTCTCAAAGCTTCCTTCTTTAGCTGGAGATTTTCGTCAAAATCAAACCTTTAAAACGAATTCGAATCAGTGAAGAGTAATTAGCTATGAATTGATAAGAAATTGAAAAACCTAATTGCTTTAGTGAAGAGTGTTGAAATTTTGAAATTGGGGGAAAAATTCGATTTAGAATGGGTGAGAACTGGAGAAATTGGAAGATTGGGTACCTCGATTTGATAGTCGGAGATGGTGATTTCGCCGGTTAAGGGAGATGGTGATTTCGCCGGAGAAGAAAGTTTTTAATCGATTGTTAGGGTGCGGGGAGAAGCACCAGAACTTTGCTTTCAGCTTTTTGATCTGATGTTATGGTTACCACGAAGCTTATCTTACGCGTGTTGTGTGACGTTTAATCTTGACCGTTCATCTCTACAACACTTGTCGGCCCAAACTTCTTTATAGTTGGATTTTAGCCCAATTCGCTTTCAACTTTTTCTAGATGACCACTATGAGTATGATCAGTGGTTTACTATAGATGAACTTACAATTTGGATTCACTTTGGTTTTAGATTATTTGTCACTGCACTGATTTTTTTGTTTGGGTTCAATTCTTTGGATAATTAGAACTGAACTAAAATTACAACCAAACTGATCCTATTTTTTTGGTTACTAGTTGATTCTTAGTTTTATTTATCTGAACTGAACCAGATATTTAATTGGAACCAAAATTTGTTTATATCTTAAACGAATCCTAAACATGTTTTTTCTAGATGATATTCAAAATAATCAACATGAACTGAATACTTGAATGTCTATGTGTTTAATTTAAATATTGGGATGAAGCAACATGCATACAGTGTCTTTTCTTTAGTCAGCACCAAGTGTTCTAGTACTTCACTAGTACACTTTTGAATTTTTGAATGAATCACTTGCCTTTTCGATTATGTCACTATGTATTACTTTCCGACGGTTATAGTTGGAATATCTAGCTTGCGAAAGATAATACTAATATATAACAAAACACCAATGCTAAGGAAAATATATTTTCACTAGGAAATAAAATATTACACCCTATGAAAGTTTCCTAAATCTGCAGATGTATATGTAACAATCTAAAATATTAAGGAAAAGTTCAAAGAATGAGAGAAACCAACTAATATATCCAGAAAATTAAAAAAAAAAAAACAAGAATCAATAAACAGTTCTTCCAAGCTCCAACTTGAGATTCAAATTCTCAACCATCCCCAAGCTCAAATCAAGACAAGCCACCCTCTTCCCACTACTCGACTTCTTCAACGTCGTCACCGTAGGTTCCGGCAATAACGCTCGTGTAACCAACGTGACGCCGCCGCCGTTCTCGTTCCTATGTTTCCTCATATGTCCTCCAAGAGCTTGTCCCATCGGAAACTCCACTCCGCATATAGGGCAACGATGAGACGACGGTGTTTTCGGTTTCTTTATCTGACCAGATGGATTCTCATTGTTAGGCTTCTTGTGACTTGCACGGTGACCTCCCAACGCTTGAAACGAATGAAACTCCTTCAGACACGTCTTACATGTGAAAACGCGTTTTGTATCTCCACCGTTTTCTTGTCCGACTCTTGATAAGAGCATCAAACAGTTCGCCGCCGTAGACTCTACCGTTGAAATAATCTCAACCATTTTTTATTTTCTTCTTAACGAAAGAGTTTAGAATGATGTTTTGTGTATGTGTTTGGTGTAAATGTTGTTGTTGTGTTTTGTGTGTTTGTGTCTGTCTGAGATGTGTATTTATAGATATCGAGTTGTGTGTGGTGGACTGAAGACGTGTGAAGATGACAAATAAGACTTGCTTGGTAAGGAAGTGGCAGCGTATGAGTGTGGTATTATCGTAATTTCGTGGAAAAGGAAAGGCTAAGATTTGCAAAACCGCGTAGCTTTAGGAGACTGAAATGGAAAAGTCGTTTTGATGAGAATCTTCGTTGTACTTTCTAGAACCCTTTTTTATTTCATAACTTAACCAATAAAACTCCGACTTTGATCTTTTGTTTGCCACGCACGGCGCGTGATTGTCTCAGCCGTCTTCTAGATATATTTGAATATTTTATAAGATCAACAACGACTTGTAGAGATATATTTCTTTTTTGATCAAAAAAAAAAGAAAAAGATATGTTTCTTTTTTTCCAGAGATATTTAATTTATAGGAAATGTTTTTGTTTGTTTGAGATCATGATATATTCCTGAGTTATTTTATGAGTTTTTAACATATTGAAACATAACAGTTGTTATAAATATATTTGGGCTTGGTTTTCAGTAAGTTATATAAAAGTTTTTTTCTAAGCAATTTATGATAAAATCTAGTTGTAAATTGGAATAATTTTTAGCTAGGAAAAGCAGTTCTATTTTTCTAAACAAACACAAATTGTTATAGAATGTTATCACAAGGTCGTCAGCAATGAGGCATGAGCATGACTAAACAAAAAGCGTGAAGCATACGCGTTAGATGGCTGCGTGTGAAGTTGGGGAGTAAGTGAGAGTGAATAACGAGAGGATATGTACGGAAACTTGATGGAAACGTGGGGAGCAAGTAGAGAGTGACTCTTCTTGTACCTTAAGATTCTTGTATTCACACTATCGATGCTTCTTCTAATTTTCACAACTAGTCGTGAGTCAGTTAATAAAACTGTTTATATGATTGGACAAGTCTTTTTATATGGTTGGTGTGGTCTACAGGATTACCAACCAACGTGTAAATGGATAAAACATATGGACCGACTTGTTTTGTTTTGTACGCCTAGCAATCAAAAACTAATAAATATATCGTTTTATTATTATTTGTGGTTCTTTTTTTTTTTTTGCTAAATTATGTATCTCAGTCAGCAAAATTTTCGCATGATCAGTGCCAGCTGCTTAATATTTGCATTTGAAAAAGTATTACATCATCAAAGTTTAATTAAAAACTGTAACTGTGCAATTGCAGTTTCAAACCAAGATTTGTCTTTAATGGCCATTGACCCTAATCCATATCACCTTGTATTGATCCGTTATCTTTTATGTATTAGTATCTCCAAGTGTATAACATTCAATAATTTCAAAGCTAATATCAATTGTCAAGTGTACATAAAAGAGCATATTCATGATGATTAGTTTCGGTTTCATTTGGATTTAGCTCCAAATTTGAAATTAATTTTCAAAATTGTACAGATACTTAAAAGATAGATAGAAAACAGTAATTTTTTTTCTTGTACTAATTAAAAGTCACATAAAAAACTATTAAAGTTGCAAATATTGGTAAGAAAAACCTTTCGCTAACGTAACTCCAAGAAATGGGGAGATAAAAAATGAAGATCCTATTACTCTCTCTTTTTAGTTACATGCTTAGAGTTGAAAAGGTGCTAAAATCACTCAACCGATCTTTCATAGTAAGTTAAGATCGTGCGTGATTCTATATTCATTTACCAAATATAGATTGAGTGAAAAGAGGGAATCATGGAAACGTTTTTGTATATGAGTGTGTGATGAGAAGATATGCCAGTAACATTTAGCCATAATACAAAATGTGCCTCCAAAGTTTATCTCTTCTTCTTATTCTCATCTTCACTCTCTTTTGCTCTCCTGCCTTTGCTCTTAAACAGGTTCTCTCTTAGTCTCTCTACTTCTCTATATATATATTTTTGCTTTTACAATATGCACATGTTTAATGGTTTAATTGTGTAGTCTTATATAGTATACTTGGGATCTCACGCACATCCTCCTCATCACCTCTCGCCCGCTCATCTCGATCGTGTTGCTCATTCACATCGCACTTTCCTCGCCACTTTCTTGGGAAGGTATCATACATTGGTTGAGAAAGTGAAAAAATGGAATTTAGATAATTTATTTCTCAAAAACACTGCCTCTCAAATTGCAGCCATCAAAGCGCAGATGATGCAATCTTTTACTCTTACAAGAGACATATCAATGGCTTCGCCGCAGTTCTTGACGACAATGAAGCTTCAAAAATCGCTAGTGAGATCATCAATCCTCAAGCTCCGTTCCTTAATCCCTTTGGTTTTAACCTAACGAAAAATATTAATAAGTTATTGAATGAATGCAGAGCATCCAAATGTAGTATCTATTTTCTTAAACAAAGGAAGAAAACTGCATACCACTCATTCATGGGATTTTATGCTTCTTGAGAAACATGGCGTGATTCACAAGTCTTCTCTGTGGAAGAGAGCAGGATTTGGACAAGACACAATCATAGCCAATCTTGACACAGGTAAAAACAACCAAAGAAAGAGTTTGCTTTGCTCACAAGTAGATAGGAGCCGATAATATTACAATCATAATATATTTTTAATCATCAAGATCTCAAAATTTTTATGGCCATATAATTACATTAATTTTAATGCATCAAAATTGTTGAAAAGACCTCAAAATATTGATAAACTGGATATTTTTGTATGATTTTCTATGTAACTTTTGGAAGATATAAAATATGTTTATTGATGAAAGGTGTGTGGCCCGAATCAAAAAGCTTCAGCGATGAAGGGTATGGAGATGTTCCAGCTAGGTGGCAAGGCAGTTGCCACGGTGATGTTCCTTGCAACAGGTTCACATCTTCTCTCTTACTATTACATCCATCATTTAAATTTATTAGATTATTGTTTGATTCATCACATGTAACCAGGAAGCTTATTGGTGCAAAATACTTCAACAAAGGCTACTTAGCATACGCAAAATTCCCCTCAAATTATACCTTTGAAACCCCTCGTGACCTCGACGGCCACGGCACCCATACACTCTCCACAGCGGGAGGAAACTTTGTCCCCGGAGCCAATGTCTTTGGACTTGGCAACGGGACAGCTAGTGGCGGTTCTCCTAAGGCTAGAGTCGCCTCTTACAAAGTGTGTTGGCCTCCTGTGAAAGGTGCCGAGTGCTTTGATGCTGATATCTTGGCAGCGTTTGATGCAGCTCTTGGTGACGGTGTGGATGTTATATCGGCTTCAGTGGGTGGAGATGCAGGAGATTATATGAATGATGGTATGTCCATTGGTTCTTTTGTAGCCGTCAAAAACGGTGTGACGGTTGTGTGTTCTGCTGGGAACTCGGGACCTAAACCTGGATCGGTCTCTAACGTTGCACCGTGGATTTTAACCGTTGGAGCTAGCTCTATGGATCGGGAGTTTCAAGCATTTGTTGAGCTTAGCAACGGCTCACGCTTCAAGGTTTTGATCTTTAAACATTTTCACTTTTTTTATTACTTGTGCTAGAAGTGTTGGTTTGAACGCAGGGAACAAGCCTCTCGAAGTCTTTGCCTGAAAACAAGATGTACGATCTGATCAGTGCCGCGGATGGTAAAGCAGCTAATGCGTCAGCGTTACAAGCGTAAGTAAAAGCTACGTCCACTTTATGGAATGTGTGTCATAATATAAGTAACGTATTAGCTAGTGTTTAAATATATATAGATTGTGTTAATTCTAGAAGTGTCTTTAATCTCTATCAGTGCTGGCTTTTAACATGTGCTCAAAGTGCATTTTGCATATGATTTTATTTTCTTTTAATTTTACATAAGAAGTTAGGATCTTATTTTGAAAAAACACATAATTTATCATTTCTTTTTGAAAATTTACAATAATAGTGTGTTAAAATTGTAAGGATTTTTTTACCTAGCACTAGACCCAAATATATTATAAATCGGACCAGATTTCTATGCACTATTAAAAAATACTAACATTTGTTGGTATGCCTACAAAAATATCATTTTTAAAATAACAATATTTTTTGAAAAAGAAAAATAAATAGAATTTTGAAGCTAAATAAATATGGGTTTATGTGATGGTGAATTTTTTATTTATATACTCATATACAAATTCTAAATAGATATTTGTCTCAGTTCACGTTTACTCTTAATTTTTTTTTTCTTTAGAGTTAATTTGCATTTGTTCTCAACAGATTGTTATGCAAGAAAGATAGCCTAGACCCGGAGAAAGTGAAAGGAAAGATAATAGTGTGTCTAAGAGGAGACAACGCACGTGTGGACAAGGGACAACAAGCAGCCACTGCCGGTGCTGTAGGAATGATACTATGCAACGACAAAGCGAGCGGAAACGAGATCATCTCAGACACTCATGTTCTTCCCGCTACTCAAATCGACTACAAAGATGGTGAAGCTGTGTTTTCATACCTAAACTCCACTAAAGACCCCAAAGGCTACATAACTGCACCCAACACAAAGCTACAAACAAAGCCAGCTCCATTCATGGCCTCATTCTCTTCAAGAGGTCCCAACAGAATCACACCAGGAATCCTCAAGCCAGACATCACTGCACCAGGTGTCAACATTGTAGCCGCCTTCACTGAAGCCACAGGCCCTACAGACATAGAATCTGACAACCGTAGAACTCCTTTCAACGTCGAATCAGGAACATCCATGTCTTGTCCCCACATCTCCGGCATCGTTGGACTCTTAAAGACTCTCCACCCTGAATGGAGCCCTGCCGCGATTCGGTCAGCAATCATGACTACTGCAAGAACTAGAGATAACACTAAAAAGCCAATGGTTGATGCAACCTTCAACAAAGCGACACCGTTTGGGTATGGATCAGGCCATGTCCAGCCCAATAAAGCCTCACACCCTGGCCTTGTCTACGATCTCAACACTGGAGATTACTTAGACTTCCTTTGCGCTATTGGTTACGACGACAAGGTGGTTCAACTCTTTGCTGATGATCCACAATACACGTGCCGCGAAGGAGCTAATCTTTTGGACTTCAACTACCCTTCGATCACTGTTCCTAACCTCTCGGACTCTGTCACAATCACTCGTAAACTCACGAACGTTGGACCGCCTTCCACGTATACTGCCTATTTTCATGCACCCCTTGGAGTTGAAGTCTCTGTAGAGCCGAAACTGCTCATGTTCAGTAAAGTTGGAGAGGAGAAGATGTTTCAGATGACTCTCCATGCCAAGTCAGCGAAGGCTTTAGGGTATGTCTTTGGAGAGCTGACTTGGACTGATTCCAGACACCACGTTAGGAGTCCCATTGTCGTCCAACTTAGCCTCTAGCCACTTTATTCATCATGCTCTACTTTTATCTTTTGGCTTTTTTTTTACATCAAGCATTCTATTTAAAATGTTAACCTAAGTTTGGCAACTTAGTATTTCTTTTAAAATCTATTTTTTGAGAGGGATAGTAATATAATTTCTCATAGTTTTATGTAGTCATATAGTCAAAAAACCCGAGAACTCAAATTCAAAACTAGACGGAAATTTACTAAAACCCCAATGGTTACTATTTTTATAAACCTAAAAACTAAAACCGAACCAAAATAAAAACTGAATACGTACTAAAATATTAAAATATAAGAAAATATTAATTATTTATAAATTATATATATAATATATATATAATTTATAAATAAACAACATCTAAAAATCCTGAATTATACGAACTTTTTCTATTTTTTACAGGTATTTTAGGTTCTTTATCTTTTAAGTCTTGAACCAATAATAATTTCTACTTTGGTTTCGCTTCGATTTTTATAAAGAAAATAAAACCTAACATGAATCCGATATTATCTGAACCGATCCGATACTGCCTTAACCGATTTCACAGAAAAACGTTTGGTTCCAAAAACTATCCTAAGCACCCCAACCCGGATTACCTAGAAATTGAATAATCTGAACCGATCCGAAATGAAAACCCCATTGCCGATGCCGAGCACTAGGGTTTTACTTTTATGCAACTTATTAATGTTTTGCCAAGTGATTTTTATTAGTAATTTAAAAAAAAACCGAAGAAAAAAAAACTAAAGATGGGGAAAGGGAAGCGACATTGGCTACTGAAAACAGAGCCAAGCGAGTGGTCATGGTCAGACCAAGAAGCGAACGGCGGCATCAGCAAATGGGACGGTGTCAAGAACAAACAAGCCCAGAAGAATCTCAAGTCCATGACTTTAGGCGACCTCTGTTTCTTCTACCACTCCGGTTCAAAATCGAGATGCGTCGTGGGTGTGGTGGAGGTGTCCCGTGAATGGTACGATGATGACGAAGGAGAAGGAGCTGTCGACGTCAAAGCTGTTGGAGAGATGAGGACATTTGTTGATTTGAAGGAGATGAAAGGAGACAAAGGGATTGATAAGAGTTTTGTTTTGTTTAGACAGCCGAGGTTGTCTGTTGTCCCAGTGGAAGATGATGTTTGGACAAAAGTTTGTGAACTGGGAGATGGGTTTGTTGGAGATGGTCGTGAAAGCAGCGACGAGGAATCTTGAGTTTGGATATGTTATGAGGAAATGATTAAGACTGTATTTGATGTTCTTCTATGTTTTTATTTATTTTTAACGGAATTGTTTAACTTAATTATGGAAGCAAAAATGTGAAACCTTTTCTTGAATTTTTTGATCTCAAGAAGAAGAACAAAGTCTTGATTTTTATGTGTAATTGGAATTGATATGGAGGCATTGTTACCATTAATCATGTGTTATGTGCAATGGAAGTATAATTGGGATCAAAGTAGTGATCTTTTGTGTTAGATTTGCTCTTGGTTATTGCTTGGAAGACAGATCTTAGAGAACTATCTTCTGAAAATCTCATCTTTCCTTTCTTTTTTGGTGTGTGTGTGTAAGTACTTTATGGAGCCAGGGACTGGTAGAGAGTTTCCATCTCTAGAATCAGGTAAAAAGACACTTTGCTGGAGAAGTAGAGCTTAGGAGAGTTTCCTAGGTCAAACTCCTATGACATTGATAACTTATGTAGAGCTTATGAGAACTATGTTGGCTAGTTTACTTGTTTGCATCTCAGACCGTAAGTGTCACACTACAGTATTACGTTGAGAGAAAAAAACGGGAAAGCGGTTCCGTTTGGTTTTATTTTGTTTTCATGTTATGGTCCGGTTCTGGTTTTTCCAAAACCGTTAGTTCTGTTTGTTTGCAGCTACATTGAGCCGGGAACAGCGAAGAGATTTCGTTCTATGGCTGCTGTTGAGAGATACTTCAACGGTACAGAATAAACTTCGGTAAGTTTCTAAAGCTTTACATCGTTTAGACGTCTCTAGCTCTGTCAAGCAGGCATGGTTTGAACTTTGAAGCTTTTGTCTCATTGATCTAAGACCAGTTTAACTAAAATCTGGTTCCTTGATTCGGTTTAATCACTTTTGGTTTACTTTTAACAATCTATTCCGGTCGGGGCAATCTCTCCCAAGTTGTTCATATTTCGGTCTAGTTTTACATAACTGACCTGAATAAACCGGGTTTGCCCGAATTTTCCATGTTCATAGTCGGTATAGACTATAGTAGTGGGATAATATATTAATAATTATTTAATTAGTATTTTGACAAGTGTTAATGTACGAAACTAGTAGTTATTTAATTTCTCATAAACATAATTTTGACAAGTGTTAGTGATTGTAATTAATGCGGTTCCAGTGAAGAAGGCTTTGTACGATGTACTAACATAAAAACCGTTTTGTGTAAATTCGCCTTTGCGTCTAAAACCTCACTCGAGTCGGTCACACCCGGCAACGAAAGAAGAGATATGCAGACGAGGAGACTTCCAGAGGACGACCTTGTCCCTCTTGTCAAGTTTCCTCCTCGCCACCGTCGCGAACCCCAGCTCTTTATCGTGGACCCCACTCCCTCTCGCAAGAAGAAAACTTCAACGAGCCGTAAATCCGTCGTCAAACGGCGGCAACCGTCGTCTCCTAAAAGAAAACGCAATCTCGATACGGTAAAGTAAAATTCCGACATAGATTGTTTTTTTTTATTACAAATCTTAGAGAGTTATGTTTTGGAAAACAAAAAAAAATCTAATCTTTCCTTTTGTTGTTGTTGTTGTGTGGGTGGGTTTTAGTGCTCTAACGAAACAGGGACAGGTAGAGAGATTGTGTATGTAGAACCTGTTCAGAGACACTTACTTGGAGAAAGACGCTTGTCTCGAAGTATAACGTTTTATGAAAGACGCAGAACCGAACAGGTCCTCCCTTGATCTTAGAGATTTGATATTTTTGCACAAAAGCAGCTGTTCTTGTCTCAAATGTGTGTTTTGATTTTTCAGGATCATCGCCGTGCTTCCAAGGATTTCCTTTTGCCTCAAGGATGGACTGTTAAAGAGGTTCAGAGGAGAAACTCATCTCATATTGATAAGGTGCTTATGACAAAAGAATCAGCAATTGTTTTATTAGTAAGCATAATTAATCTGATAAGGATAGTGTATAGAGTTGGGAATATATATCTTGCTAATTAGACTCTTGAATAAAAGATTAGTTTATTAACATGTATTGGTTCGTTGCAGTATTACACTGAACAAGAAACGGGAAAGCGGTTCCGATCCCTTGTTTCCATTGAGAGGTACTTGAACGACGTTGCTTCGTTCTCTAAGGTGCATTCTGAGCAAGTTCCGGTTAGTTTCTAGGCTTTTACATCATTTTAGATGTGCAGAAGATTAACAGTTTCAACACATTTTTCAGCTTTTGGCGATTTGTGGTATTGAATATGATACCGTGGTTGTTGACCAAAATCCACCAGAGAAAGTTAAATCGGTACTTAAAGGTCCAGAGGGAGACATGTTTAGAGCGCATGTTAGCGAACGTCTCTAGCTCTGTCAAACAGACCTGGTCTAAGAGTTTTGTCTCATTGATCCCACACCAGTGAGTGTTAACCATCTGAACCCTAGGTTTGGCGTTTTCTTGTGGCCGGTTTTGGTATACTGTTAACAAGATAGTGTCTCCAAGTTGTTCATGTTTCGGTCTAGTTTATAACTGACTGACCTGAATCATTGGTTTTTGCCAGATTTTACATGTCCATAGTCGGTAGGAACCGGGTTTCGTGTAATATCGGTTAGGTCTATGTGTTTTAATCTAGAAATGGTTAATGAAAACTTACAACTTCGATGGCATATTGTTTCTATAACATATTATTATGTTTTGTCATTAGTTCTACCAAAGAAAGCACTAATTGCCAGAAATAAAAATGTGAAGAAGCATAGACATTTCATAGCCTGAATCTACTTATAAGTGAAAACAACTTTTGGTAAGATTATGACCCAACATGTTCATGGACTAAACGAACGGTAACAATTAAATTTATAGGACTTCTCCTAGTCTTGGTGTAAATCGTTGTTACCACCAGGTAAAGCTAGTAGCTCTTTTTACTAAAATGTGAATTCACTCCAAAGAAGTCAGTCACATACTGCAAGATCTTGTATATATGTATTTGTATGATCTCTTATCTAGTCTTGAATGTACATCAACAGGTCTGACTCTTTAACAGACTAAACTATGCAGTCTTTTGTTGTTGTGCAAAAGATTATTTGACAGTTTTCTTTGAATTTAAAGATCAAAAACTATAAACACTATATGAATTGAAATGTATTTAGCAAATGCTCATGTCCCAATTGAAATCGGAGTTGACGCCAAAACTAAATGGGGCATGTAGATTTATTCTGAATTATAAATTTGTAACCTCAAGGCACCACCCCGACATTGACCCTACGTTGTTTTGTAGTTTCAAGGACAAATATCACTTTACCACATCTCAAGGGCATTATTCGATATAATATAGTGTTTTCGATGTAATTTCCAGTAACAAATTTATACTTCTCTAAAACAAATCTCGCTAAGCTAGAGTCAACTTATAAAATATAGGAATACTCAACAAAATTGACCATAGTGGTTTCTGCACTGCAAACTACGCCATAGGAATCGAATACTTACTGAGAAGACTCCATTATATTCCATCTTATAGTTGTATAAATTACTTTTGACATATTCTAATTAGAACTTCTATCACTGGCAAAGCTTCCTATAATCATAATAATCCTAGTATTACTTCAGTGTGAATAGAGCATTATAAACGGAAACTGAGAGTTATTAGCGAGATTCCCAATAACTAAGGTGAATAAAACGAGTCTGAAATTAACCTCAAAGTACACCTAGGCTCAAACTACAAGAATTTTATATGTACCCATCATCATGTTTAACTTTTTGGCACCCACTGGGGTTTTTAGTTACACATATCACAATACTACTCATCATTCCCTATTCTTCTTTTCTTTGTTCTTAAACCCACAATATGCTTGTTAGACTCCGTGCCGTTTCTTTGCAGATTTTTTTGTTACTGATGCACACCATTGTTCCTTAGAGCCACCGACTTTGGTTTCCTCGGAATACACTTTGCTCGAACCACCGCCTCTTCTTCATCATTCTCAGTCGTTGGTCCCATTCCTGAACTCCTAATACATAATGAAATAATACTGAAACTATTATTATAACATTCCAAATATTTCATCTGTATATTGAAGACACGTTTGAAAAACACACTAAAACGTACTTCTGTACATTTTACCATTTTCAGCTCTTCAATCAGCACATGCCATAACCAATTATTGGCATGTACATGAAGTAAATATAACAAAACGAACCAGACAGAATACATGCCGTTTCATATATAATGCTAGTAAACTGCTCAACGTTTTGAAATCCCATTAACTTAATTTTTACCTGTCAGCATTGTAAGAAGAAGATCTTTGCAAAGCAGTAGGAACAAGCTCCTCCTTACTCTCAATCAAACTCCCACTAAAATACTCCTTATCTTCCAATTTTACCCTTCCTAAACCCTCTAACTCCTTCTCCACCCTCTCCATACCGTTATCCCCTGCTCCTCGCCTCACCGTACTAGGCCCAGTCAACGAAAGCCCATGATCTTTCAACAAAACAGGCCCACATTCCTTAAACGACATCGTACCGCACGAGATCAGCTGCATCAACACAGCCGAAGCTCTCATCCTCCCGCTCGAAAAACTCTCCACCGTCCGATTCTCTCCACTGCTCTCTTCTTGACGTAATATCAGCCGTCCATCTGCTTTTATCAGATTCTCCAAAGTCTCGGGGCTCGAATCCGACGGTGGAGGAGAGATCTCATCCCTGCTCAGCTCAGTGCTCTGATTCTCGAAACTCGCCGCCGGCGGCGGAGGCGGCTTTCTCCTCCGCCGTCGCTCCTCCGTCTGAGTCGACGCGTCCGCGCCGAGTTGACTCGTCGACTCGGAGATAGACTCGGTCGCTTTGTAAACCTTGTACTCGCTGAGGTCGACGGAGCTCCACGACTGGTTACGCCGGCGACTCGTCGCCGGCGGGACATCGTCGCCGGAGTTTTGTTTCTCTGTGTCCCGAAACGACGTCGTACCGAGGAGGCTTCTGGGGTTAGAGAGAAGACAAGAAGAAGAATCAAGAACCTCGGAGCCTTTGAGTACGTATTCTTGTCCTTGAACGGGGAAGATGAAGTCTTCTTCCGACAAGTCGTGCCACACAAATCCATTTTTGTAGCTTCTGAAAATTAAATAAAAAAAAGTGTTCAGAAGATCGGAACAAAGATCCAACGGCGGAGGAGAGATTCCGTTACCTTTTGGAAGACCAAGAGTAGAGACTTGCCATGCCTTTACCTCTAAGATCATTCAGACGGTTTATTACATCTGATTAAAAAAAAAAGTTGGAATAAACATTAAAAGTTTTAAACTTCACGAGAAAATTATACTCCCTCTGTTTCAATATACAGCTATGCACACGGATTAAGAAAACAATTAATTTTACATATTTTCTATATAAAAACACAATTACCCATACACCTAACCATATTTTAACCAATAGAAAAACAAATTACATAATAAAATTAATAAATTTTACATTGAAAACCTAAAACGACACTTATTTTGTAACACAAAAAATTCTCTACAATGACACTTAATATATAACGGAGGGAGTAGTTTTTTGGAAGATACAATTCGAAAAAGTTGCCGCCTTTATTACTGTTCTGTTTCAGTAATAGTAAAGTGTAAACAGCCAAAAAAAAAATGTAAACAGCCAAAGAAAAAAGGGGTTGAGTTACAAAACCTTTTGAACTCAAAAAGCAACTTTCTTGTCTGATTATTACATTTGAAAAATTCAAAAGGGTTTAGTTATTACCTTTGAGATAGAGACCATCGGTGGAAGAGAGAGTGACTTCAATGAAATGAGGATGGTCGAGCTGACCATTGCGGCAGAGATAATAGACGACGGGAACTTTCCGGTTAACAGTCGGTTTATGACGAGGCTCGGTCCAGATCCGGTTCCGGTCAGGACTGGTTTCTTGTTGGTCTCTAGATCTCCTGGGGACTAAATAGTTGTTATCAGGTGTTGCTCTGAACACTCTTGAACTCATCTTTCTTGTGTGTGTGTTTGTTTCTTTGTTTGTTGGAAGTGGTAGAGAGAAAATAGAGTGAAGAACACGAAGTGAGAGTTTTTGGGGGGAGAGTTGTGAGGGAAGTGATGTTGATTGAATGACAAAAATCTTTTGTTTATGAGTTTGGATTTATAGAAAGTAAAATGAAGAATAGAGATATAGAGAGGAGTTTTTTGAAAAATGGGATGCCAGAGACAAACAACTACACAACAAATGAAACTTTGTTCTCAGTCTCTCTCTTCTGGCTCTTCTGATATCAGCTCTTACTTACACAGTTTACACCAGTAGAAAAGCATTTTCTAAAGTCAATGTCACTTAATAGGGGAGTATTGTTTTCAAATTTGAAAAAACTCAAGGGTTTGGTTGGTAGACATTTTTAATGTATAGTATAGTCATTTCATTGTTAGACTAATGTTTGTATTTTGAACTAGGCTAATTCAAACTCTAATACAATAACAGTAGGTTTACCAATAAAGTTAATGTACTTGTGTGAATTAATATAATTTATGTGCAGGCATGATATATTTAAACAAACTGAAGCCAAAACTCTATGTACTTTCTACAATAAAAGTGGTCAATATGAAAAATCCAAATTATCGGACGCATAACTACATTAAGTGATCTAATTTAATAATGTTAGTAGTACAGTATATATTGAGTCAAGCGGCGTTGTTAACAGCGTTTTAGTGCAGTTAGATGATTTTAAAAATGCTAATGAAGTTGACTAACCGAGTGTCCGATACCACCTATGGTTCTTTTCACACCTAACTTTGACTACAAATATGAAACCGAAGATTTTAAATGTATAGTCCGTTTCAACTTGTTCAATTCTAGAGACGGTTTATATGTTCGAAATATAAAGAAACAGTCTCGAATGTTTTCAAACACAGACAGAAAATAACTTTTTATAATGGTTCGGTCACAAATTTACAGCTGAAGCCTGAAGTTAATACACCTACACGGGCACGACGACTGATTGTTCCATCATGCTGTAATTAAGGTTACAACCCACCACAATAAAATAAAACTTTAGGTATATGTTGTTTTGTTTTCATGACTTGTGTTTTGAAAATCATTTAGATTTCTCTTTTCATTTAAATGATTATCTCTTGCTCAAAGGAAAAAGGTTATAAACTTTGACTTTTTTATCATGACAGGGAGTTCACGGACAATGGATCAATGTGGTCCCTCGAATAGATTTTGTTATGAACGCGGCTGAGATGGGTTAAGATGTATCTTTCATCAGCTGCATTATTATGTAATTGTACACGGTCAGTCACTGGACATAGATATGCTTATAAAATCCAAATATTCTCTTGCATTCATCGAACGGCTCTCATACTCCAACTGAGATTTATAAGTACACCGCTTGTTAATACTAACCCACAAACATCTCACATTTGTTTTCTTCATATTTATTTTTTTGGTCATATATCTCTCTTCGATGAATGTGGATGATGAGTACATTTTTATACCTTGAAATGTATTTTCGTCGGTCAAGAAATAGCCTAAATAACGAATAGAAACAATATAATGTTGTATCACCTGAGATATAAATCTGGATACTCAACGATTCTGTTTTCTGTAGTTTTTTGTTTTTTGTTAGTTGGTTGTATTAATTCATGCTTTCAAAATGGAAAAGAGACAATAACCCGACAACAGATTCAATACCAGCATTTCTTACGTTGATTTGCTTAGTTATTTGAAGTTGTACTGTTAATAAAACATTACTATTCGCAAAACTCGTGTACATGCATGTTTGGATTTTCAGTGGTCACAATAAGACAATACATTATAACATTTTTCAAAAAAAAAAAAAAATCATTAACAAGGAGAATCAGACTCGTCTCTTCACGTATGAGAGATTTCTCCAACTTATATAATTTATCAGCAACTTCCATAAAATTAACGGAAGTGTTATATATATATGAGTTGATAAAAAGCTAACGAGAAAAACCTAAATTAATTTGAGTTTTTGTTCTTATTTAAGATTGATATGGTGGCCAACATATGGGCTAACAACGAGACCATGTAAATCAAAAGTTGGATACTAGCATAGATTCTCATATAAAAAAGTTTCACAACCTGAAATTCTCCATTGTCACCACCGCGATAGTTTGATAAAATATTGAAAATAATAATCTGATGTGTTTATATATATATAGCGAATACCTCCTGCATGCACATGTTTATATCAGGTTTTATTGCACAATGTTGCTGTGTATATTGTTGTTTTGTTGTTTTTAGATTCTAGTGTATACTAAAACCACTTTAACTAGGCATTGTTTTTCATACCAAAAAAAACACTAGCCAGGCATTGTTTTAAATCGTATGAAAATATCAAAGCTGGCATAACAATGGCCTACAAAAATAAAACAAAATTACGGTCAGTCGTCCCTTCCATTTTTATTTCTTTCACGTGGGGAGTCAAACAAATGGAGTAGTGTTTTTATTTACTAGTTTAGATACAACCAAGACATTCTTCTTCCATTAATTGCTCATGCCTCCAACCTAAATACGAGGCTGGTAAAATGAAGTATCAAACAAGATACTACCAAGCTTCTTCCCTATCGAAAAAGTATTTGCGTTTCGAAGGAGATTTCGGAAACAGAACGTACGAGAAATTTTGCCTTATAATTTAATAATCTGTCTGGTTGGATTTTTAAAATGTTCAAATGAAATATAAAAACATAAGAATTTAAATCTATAAAATAAATTTGAAGAGAGCAATATTCTTATATAGGATACTTATTTACATTTGTCACATATAATATATAAGCATCCGTGCGTATGTGTCTGGGTTTGTGTTCAAAAAGGGATTTATTGGAATTGTTATGCGAGCGTGGAAATCAGAAAACATTGGAAAACAAAATGCTATTCGATCTCTTATAAAGTTAGAGACAGAGATGCATACCTTTCGCACTAAGTCTGTGTTGCATTGCATTGCAAATTTGCAACTGAATTCGATGCATGTAGTCCAGTTAGGGACCTTTGGTTCTCTTAAAAGGAAGAAGGGATTTGATGAACAAGCACATTACTATACTTAAATTTTTTTTTTTAATGAAATATTCATTTTAGTTCTTAGAATAAAACGAGATAGTTTAGAAAATTTATACTTTTGCGTTTGCGTTGCAATCTACGTAAACAAATTCACAGCCTTATAGTCGTCTTGATTCTTGAACAAAATATAACTCTTAGTTGTGAACTTAAATGCAAACATAAAGTGTGTAACAAAAAAAAACGCAAACATAAAAAAGTATAATTGTTTTTTTCTAAAACATAAGAATTGTTGCATTAGAAAAATGTAGATGAAACTTGTTTCGTATATATTATTTTTTCTAACGTTTGTTAAATGATATTCGAATCTATGAAAAATATTATATAAACAATTATATGGTTACAATTTTATATGTGTTATGAGAATTCACATCTGAATGCACTACTTTTTTGTCATATGAAAATCTGACAATTCTTTGTGTCATGATGAACGAAAATTTTCTGTAAATTTGTTTTTAATAATCTAATCTGTTATAATTTGTTTGTTTTTTTATCTAAAATTTCAAATTCAGACTTCAAAACACTACATCAAGATATTTCACAATTATATTAGAATTATTAAATTAATATTTTAATTTAAATGAATGTGTTGGATGAGGCCGTAGAAAACTAATGAATATCTGTAGGTATGTTATTGGGCTAACAAGCCCATAATAACTTCCTTTACCTCTTGGGCTTAACGTCAGAATCGAGATAGCCTGGGTGTGAATGTATGTAATTTATAACCTAGTTCATACACCAAACTCATAGTTCCATTTTTCTATAGATATACAGGTAAGGTTTTTGTCTCTTCTTATATTTGGTGATAATTTTCAGTTACAAGGTATATTCTTGATTTATAAATAATCATTATATTCAAAACGTGTAGCGAAGTGTTGATGATCGGTTGGACTATAGCTTTTTTTTTTATAACATCATTTTATTAATCATATAGCAAATACATAACCCATATGGAGTAGATTATCTAAAAACATTGGTACATAATTATAAAATTGAAATCTAGTTTCTTCGATTATCTAAAAATCGGTTGGACTATAGTTATATTTCGATGTAACTGTATTTAACGTGGTTGTAAAAATTAAATAAAAATAATAATACATAGAAAAGCTATTTCTACATTAATATTTTCTTCTTACTTCTTAGTATTTTTTAGTTTTACATATAAAAATATATAAAACATGGTCGATATTTTTTATGGTTTGATTAACGTGTGGCTTAGATAATATGCTATACAAAGGTTTATAAAAGTTTATTTGGCTAGCTATAGCCAAAAGTGACCCAACATTTTTCGTATAAAAATAAAACCCTTTGAAGCAAATGATTATACAAATGAGTACATACCACTAACAGAAAGCTAAAAATGATTCAATATTTAAATAAAAGTACGAATCGATATTATAGAGCTTGTTAATTTGTTTAATATACGACGCCTATCATTATAAATATATCGTACGTACTAAAATAAGGCTGATGAAAGCCTTATCTTTCTAGTGGATCACGAAAGCTAAAGCTAGTGACTGCTTAATGGACAACACTTTTTCTCTTAAGTAATAATTTTAATGTGAAATAACTTATTTAGGGAAAAAAGAAAATGAATATATTTGAATGTTGGACAAAAAAAACAGAATATATTTGAATGTCTCGATGAGCAAATCAAGTATTGTACTAATATGGCAATGTGACGATGCATAATTCGTCTGAATTCCAAAGTAAGAAATAATTAATCCAAGGTCGACTTAACGATGTGTAAATTGTAATCTTAATGTGTTAATTTATTCTTTTGTAGTAGTTTATAAGCTTCCAATTGGCTTGAGAATGATATTAGATCGCTGTTTAAATTAAGTTAACTTTCTCACTCATATCCCATACTATTACCCAACTCGTCAATCGTAGATAAACTTTAGTAATACTGCAATATTAACAGCAAGGAAATTTAGTTTACAACAAAAAAAATTAGGGAGAATTAGCCTAAAGGCATAACTTTTTTTATTCCACACATTTCAGATTTAAAATAATATAAGCATAATGCATGTATGGATAGTTGCAATGCAGCTAAAATTCTATGTCGTGGAAGTGCTTGATGTTCTTTTAAGTGTGGTATAATATTTGATTTTGCTTGTCGTAAATAATAGTAAGATCATTATTTGAAATATGATAAAAAAAATTCTAGTGATATAACAAATATGAATATATGATAATGCATTTCTAACGGCAAATATTAATTTATTTAACCAATGAGATATTTATCCAAGATAACTAGTTTGACATGTTTTGCGGGGCTCCTCCCCTTGAATGAAGGTAAGAGGCCATGATGTATGTTGATAACATCTTTTCCATAACCTTTCAAGAAGTTACCAGACAGTACCTGCATGTATCTAGAGAGAACTATAAAATCAGTATCCTTGACAAACTCCAAAATCAGTATCCTTGACTGTGAGATGCCATGCCTCTGGAGGAAACGCATAATATGTGTGTTTGGAGCTCTTTCATGATTACTGAAACACACATACATACACAAGTATTCCTGAATCACTAGTTGAACACATCTAATATACACATTCAAGTTGATTTAGTTACGAGTAAACCTTATCACACATGTTATATCAACAGGAAGCTTCCCGTCCTGCCATTTATGTAACATTCCAACAAGACAATGATCCTACAAGACAGAGCAATCAATCACACAACTTCAGGAAAGGACACAGAAAAAGGGGTCCTTCATGAAAAATGTTCACTTTGAAGACATTGGTTCAAACTTCAAAGTAGAGGTTTTTTAATAAAAATTGAAACAAAACAGCTAAGCTCACATCAAATTCTAAAACCTTCAAAATCCACAAGTTATCTACAAAATCAATTCAATCTTAGTTTTAATTTCAAGTATACCTCCGATGAACACTCGCCACCGCTGTAACCGTCTCCATCACCACCGGCGGCTACATCTCCGACGGAATCAGAATCTTTGTGTTCTTCTTCTTCTTCTTCCTCAACCGCGTCCTTCTTCTCCACATTCACTATACTGTTGCTTAACGAAAAATCACCGATAGGCTTGGAGTGTTCTTCGATGTGAACGAAGTCTCGCTGGAGTGAACCTCCGTCTCCGACGCCGATTGCGTCGGTTCCATCGATTCAAGGAGCAAACAAACAGAGCTTTACAAACAAACAGAACTTCCCAGTACCACCACCTCTCTCCTTGCACTTGCCACGTCAACAAGGACTAGCTCAAATTAATCCTTAACTAAGGATGAGTCCGTAGCTTTTCTTGGGTTTTATTAATATTATATTCAATTAATCTAAGGATTATGTCCTAAGGACTTGTATTAATACACCGTTGTACATGCTCTTACGCATTAGGACTAAACAAGAGTCTCATAATTAGGTGGCAAGGTTTCAGGATGTCGCTATAGATGAATAAATAATCTTCTCTCTTAAACTTATAATTAGCCAAAGAAAATGAATATTTTTGTATTCGAGCTTTCCTAAAGCACTAGCATTATAATAATGTTGATGTATAATATTTGTTCCCATAGGTGGATCATAACTCATGGCGTACGTTAACGTTAAGTGGGAATGATCTCGAGAATATCCAGAGTCGTCGATATTATTAACAAGTAGTCTCCATGCCATACTATGTCACATACATAAAAGTTATACAGAATGACAGAAAGTACGCCTCAAGATCTCAGGCAAGAGGATCTCACCTCTGAGGAAGGGACTAATTAAACCTGTTCTTGCTCCCGGCCCATGAGACCATGATAACCCTAACAAAAGCCTTTATTACAAAAACAATTTATAAATATATATCAGATTTTATGATACACATTGTTGTCCAGTTGTTAAAACGTGTATACATACTTGTCTGAACAATTTATATGAACATATGTGCATGTATAATAAATGTCATGCATGCACAGAGTAGCTGCTCTGAGGGGAGAAGTCATGGAATGTGTTGGAATGGTTATGTTAATGTTTTTTATTGACCAAACCAGTTAGACAAACCAAAAACATGCATTTTGGAAGAAAATTGCCTAGAAGAACACAATCACTACATTACTCCCAAATAAGGATGCTGTGATGGGTTGATGGTCTGGTTTTGATAAGTCCTGTTACTCCTGTAGGCTGTAGCTAGCTAATGTATGTGGATATGCATGCATGACAAATGCTTGCATTTAGAAAGAAGACACATGCAAGACAATCAAACAAATTGAAACAAAGTACAGATCGATCATAGGATTCTGAAGTCAGGTTATGATGTAAGAAAAGAAAAAAATAAGTATGCGACCAAAAGAGTCTTATCTTAAATTGTTTTAAGTGCGTGTATATATATGCCTTCGCAGGAGCCAGAAGAATTGAAGAGGAAAAAAATCTTACTTAGTGGAGTGGCCATAGAGGAAGTGGTGCCGTCCACGTAACTGCAGTCTTATATCTATCTGCTTACCTCACTCTAATCTCTTCAGAATTTTGGGTCCTTCATTACAAAGGCAACTTCAAAAAGAAGGGCCAATACTTGAATTCTGAAATTTTACACAATTTGTGATAATTTGATGATTTTTTCTTGTATATATTTTACAAGAATAATATGAGTTTGACCAATTAAGGTTAACGTTTTTGACCTGGTTAGCGTATAGATAGCCTAGTAATAGTGTCGACTAAACGTATTATAAACAATATTTTTCTATTAAATATATTGGAAAGTAGAAACATATTAAATAATTAGAAAATCTCCTAAAACTGTTTATCAAAAAAAAAAATCTCCAAAAACTAATCAAGTTGTCTAGACGGTCCCCGAACACTGGATTAACATACTGATGACCAAACCAACTAACAAATATGAGACTGATATTTACTTAACTAATCGTTATGCTTTAATCATCTACTAATCATATTCTTCCAAATGTACTAATCTAATTGTCTCTCATTGTTAATCGCTTAATATAAGTGATCAAATCCAACTACTAAGTAATCGATGGCTCAGATCAATAGATAATATGTAGTAGCTTTCAGCTTGTGGTGCTGTGTAGACTTTTATATTCGCTATTGGACAATACAATTCGACAAACTGAAAGCAACAGGCAAAGCAATAGAACCCGAATATTCCACACCATGATATTTAAGAGATTAAGCACAACCACGTAATATTTAAGGGGGGAAACAATTACTAATGAGTGGCAGCCTGGCAGTAAAGATTGGTTTAAAACAATGTATAAATAAATATGTTGGTTTTTGAGTTCGATTTTTTATTGGAAACTAAGTTATTATTGTTTGCCCCGACAAAAATGATATCATTTCTTAAATTTAATTAGAAATTCTAAATATGAATTAATTGTGGGTTCTGTTTTTCTAAGAAAATAAATGTACTCCCGAATATAAAGAAAAACGTGTGAAAATACCATGTAGCAACAATTTTTTTTTTTTTTTGTAAACATTCTAACAAATTTTTTTTTTTTGAAATAACCAAATAGTGTTACTCGAATTTAGGGTTAATTAACGGTAACATACGACCACGTAACTTTCGTAATAATCTAGTTAATACATTTTTCTTTTTTTTTGTGGTTAAAGTTCATACAATTATTGCGAATCAAATACGGTATATATAGGCGTGTAAGTTCTTTTTCGAAGAAAATAACTAAATAAGAGAACATGTTCTTGCTCTCAAGTTTCTCTACCCATAAAGTAAACTCGGGAAATAGTATACATAAAAAAAACAAATCGTTCATGCTAGTCTTGTTTGCAAAATGCAAGCACAAAGAAAAGGTTTCAGATTTGAGCTATTAAAACAAAACTTGTACAATAAACACGTCAACACAAACAAACAATTGAAATAGTAACAACAAACATACATGCATGTGAATTAAATACTAATATTAATAGTAATCCATATATACACATATATGTGTTTTAAAATCTTCATGGTAAAATTTCCATTGGGATGCTCTAAGAGTAGGGATGTCGTGACCTTTTTAAATCAGTAATGACATTTCACGGCCTCAACAAATATGATTAAACCGGAACTTCGATAAGGGTTGGACCAATCGGTAGACGAGATTTGCATATAGAAAAGATTATGCAACATCAATCTGAATATAATTCTCTCAGATCCCTATAAATCATTTTCAGAGTTTTCGCAGAACAAAACAATTTGAAGAATCTTGGGAACTCTTTCCCAATTAGAGATATATGCTGGGGAAAGAAGGATGTATACACTCCTTATTCTCAGATTCTATGGACCAGCACATCAGGTACTTAGAACCGTGTCTGCTCTACTTGATCCATGCATCTAGAAGACGTAAGTAAAGCTACCTATATTGCACACGTGAGCAACTGTGTAAATTTAATGAAATTCCAATAAACCGTATAAGAATAATAAATTTAAATCTTGAGAAACAAGTCTTACCAATGACTATTCTTAGGGTTTGGAAAGATTATGGACGAAGACTATCCAAACTTTCTTCGACAAAGGTACCAAGGGGCACATCACAATGTCAAGGCAAATTAAATTGGCCTTTCTCATCTTCTAAATAAATAATTTAGTGGTCACCAAATGAACTACAAATCCTTAAAAAAAATCTAAGTATCTAATTTTGAACAGTCTGCTGGTAGATACAAAAATCTACTTATCACTGTTATCAGACACCCAAAACATTTCGACCCCTTTTGCATATGCTTTTATTTAATTAAAATTTATCCTTTATGTGCCTTTAATATAATCTAGATTAAGCTTAACAAATTTCAAGGGACAAACTGCAATCATAACCTCACAAAATAGTAGAAAAGAAAATCTCTAGGCCTTCTTTTGCTCACACATATTTCTTCCTTGTTGTTAAAACCTTGAGATTAAAGAAAATTAATAATTTGTATACTTTTTCATTTTAGATAATAAGGATTATAGGTATATAGTTTACGTTAATTTCCTCTTCGGGTTTGATAGTGCAATTGAATCCATTGGGACCTGCCAAAAGAAAATATAAGAAAGTGTTCTTATTGCAACGCAAAAAAAAAAAGACAAAGAAAAAGGCAGCATTAGTGGGAGTGTTGCATCAGCCTATTAACGATCAATTCCTTTTTATATATTCTCTAATGGCTTGATGGCATCATAAAACAAGAGACCCCACATTATCATCAGCATCAGTCGCCTATTAACGATCATTTCCTTTTTTTATATATTCTTCTCTAATGGCTTGATGGCATCATAAACCCCACATTATCATCAGCATAAATCGCTCACCATATGGACGGTAAAGATTATTAAAACAAATCATTAGAGAATTTTAATAGTGCAAGTGTTATATCGCGTAGACACAACAACAGTGTTCAAGTTGGCTTATATAAATATTGGTCTAGAGTAATGCCATAGATTCCCATAAAAGAAAACTGAGAAGTAACTTTTTATACTCATAGAGAGAAAAGATAGAGAGCGCCGAGAGATGAAGAATGTTCAAGGTGAATACCGTAAAGGACCTTGGACCGAACAAGAGGACATCCTCTTGGACAACTTTGTCCACATGTTCGGAGATCGAAGATGGGATTTTGTAGCAAAAGTTTCAGGTTTGAAGGTGGAGGGAGAAACATAAGAATAGGTATAGGGCTTGTGTTTGGAAAAAATGGTTGGTCTTTGGAAAGGACCTTCCATTAAAGATATGACATGGTTTTGGTTGTAGGTTTAAATAGAACAGGAAAGAGTTGCAGGTTAAGGTGGGTTAATTACCTACATCCTGGTCTTAAACGTGGTAAGATGACTCCTGATGAAGAGCGTCTTGTCCTTGAGCTTCACGACAAATATGGAAACAGGTCAGAAAAGAAATTAATCTTCAAGAAACAGAGACCCTAATATATTATTTTTTAGTTGGTGTATTAATATTTCCTTTTTTTTTTCTTTTTGGTTGGTGTATTAATATTGAGAACATTTTTTTATACGTAGGTGGTCGAAAATCGCCCGGAAATTGCCGGGTCGAACAGATAATGAGATAAAGAATTACTGGAGGACTCTTATGAGGAAGAAGGCACAAGAGAAGAAGCGACCTACGTCGCCAACTTCCTCATCTTCGAACTTGTGCTCATCATCTATGACCGCTGTAACTACTCAAGACACTGGAGGATCCAATGGGAAAATGAATCAAGAATGTGAAGATGGATACTACTCGATGGATGACATATGGAGAGAGATTGATCAATCTGAAGAAAGCATTAGCAAACCGGTGAAAGACATGTACTACTCAGAGCAAAGCTGCTACTTGAACTTCCCTCCTTTGGCTTCTCCAGCATGGGAAAGCCCCTTGGAGTCTATATGGAACATGGATGCAGATGAAAGTAAGATGTCTACTTCTGCCATTGATCACTTTCCTCTGACGTTTGAACATGGTAGACCATCGTGGTCGTCTTTTGTCTAGGATTTGTAACATTTTAATGTTTATATATATGTACAGCCTATATATCACCCAATGTACTAATCTCATGTGTAGTCATCATCATCATCCTATGTCGTGTCCTTCATATATGTTAGTTTTGTGGAGTGCGTGAAAATAGTCATATCCATCTCTTCTTCTTACAGAAATGCCTTTGCATGGATACTAATGTATGATATAAGTAAGAACTCTACTTTCAAAATGAATAGACTTTGAATTTTTTTTCTTTGTGAAAAGTTTGTATATAAATTAATGTTGATCCATTAGAAAGATGTGAGTATTCATTATTAAAAGTTCAAAACCTTGAAGAGTGAGGAAGAAAAATGGAATAAGCAAGTAGCAACATGATAGAACAAGGCATATTCATTTACTAAATAATCAAAGATAATAGGTTTGACTTGTAAAGCTTAAGCCAACTTTGTGAAAAAAGAATGTATTCTTCTGCTTTATCAACTTATTGATAAAATCGAGTATGTTCTTTTTTATCTCTTTGAGAAATTGCACCATGATAATTATATAAAAAACGATCAGTTCCCACTCTAGTCATTATGGTAAGATATCCTTCTTTATTTCTTTAGTATATGAGCAATTCAAGAGAGCTTCAACTTTTCCTTGAAAAGTGAATAATTTAATGGAAAAAATAAAAACAGAAAGAAGATGGCTGCTTAAAGCATGCACTCAACTATTTATTAAATTGAAGGGAACATAAATGATAATCATCTCAAATAAAATAAAAACAAATTGTATCCAATAGGCAATTATGAAAAATGAAAAAAAAAAAATGACTGGCATATGATTAGTTTGTCATGCAGAAAAGAATTAGAGCAGATATCTTTCCTAATCTGATTTTACCTGCCCCACTAAGAAGAAGAAAGAACAAATGGATGGGGATAAATTTAAGATCCGCGTGCAGAGTAATAATCCGACTAATTAATTTCCTAATCATACCACAAATCAGTCTTATAAAATATCATTAGCATAAAACCCTTTCCACCCAAAGTTATTGGAAGTGTATGTAAAAAAAAGGCAAGTTGATATGAATCCATGCATATCTTAAAATCACAAGGAGATATCAAAATATCATTATTAGTTACAGTCCCACTTCCACTTCCAAGAAACGAAAAGAGCCAAATTACTAGCAACAAGGATTGCGTTTGTGTATGTCTCATTATAAAATGTAGGGGTCAGTGTTCGAATACCTATTCGAGTTCAGTTAGAATATATTCGAATTTTAGATTTTTGGAGTTAAATTTTTTAATTCCATTTGAGTATTAAAAATTGAATTGGTTCGATTTGAATCTTTACGAGTTTGGTTTGGATCTAGATAACATATTTACATTATTTATAAAATATCTATACTTTAATTTTTTCTAAATCTAAAAAAATTAAAAAAAAAAATAATTTATAAATTTAATAATGTATGCCAAAATATATAAATCTAACATAAAATATGGTTTGCCTTGAATGGATGGAAAATCAATAGATATTATAAGTATTTTTAGTGTTTTGAGTATTATTTACCTATTTTAGATATTTATTTTTGAATATTTGTATATATGTTCAAATATTTTGGACAACTTGAAAATATCTTATACATCTTTAAATATTTTTTATACTAAATATAAAATAGGTAACATATACAAGTATACAAATCTAATTCGAATACCCAAATATTTTGATTCATATCAGATTCGATTTCAGTTCCTTAGATATCAAAATTTTGAATATGTTCGGATATTTAACCAGTTTTCATTAGGTTTCGTATATTATTATTTTTGGATCAGTATTCCATTCTTAGGGTTCAGATTTTTTGCCCAGTTAGATGTTAAGTTAATCTTATATTGTTTGGGGTTACATTGGAACTAAGAATTACTTCAAGGGTACTTCAGTGTAAAATATGAAAATATTCAAATTAGCTGAAACATTAAACTCGCCTAACCAACGTAACTGTACGAGTGACGCAGAGCCACACAATCATGTGACGTCACTCCCAATATCTTAAACCGCCGTCAAAATGCTATCCACACTGAGCAGCTCACTATCGCCGGATTCAAATCGCCGATCCGCCAGATACGGTTTTTAATCGAAGATGTCGTCGTCGCCGTTCGTGAAGTCTTATCTCTTCGCTTACAACTTTCTCCAAGCTTCGTCATGGTATCCACTCTCTCTCTTCGTTTCCACTCTCTCGCCTCGTTTCCTCGTTTATTCATTGTGTTCTTCGTGTAGGACGATTTCGTTTCTGAGTATCATTAACAGCTTTCTGACGCACAAGACGATCACTGGCGCTTACTCTGCTGCTGGATACTTGATAAGTGAGATCCTCTGTATTGCTTAAGTTTTTGATCGGTGCTTGATTATCTGTGAGAATGATTTGGTTTTGGATTGGTTCAGGTGTGATGCAAACTGTTGCTGTTCTTGAAGTTCTTCATGGAGCTATAGGTAACTAACTCTGTGATGTTTCTGATTTGATTTGAATGAATGAGTTATGAATCGAACTGATTGATTGATTGATTCTATTTGAAATTTTATAAAGGAATTGTGCCGAGTGGTTTCTTGTCTCCTTTGATGCAATGGAGTGGGAGAACTCACTTCATATTAGCCATTGTTGGACAGATCAGTGAGGTTTGTGTGTGTTCTTACTCGTGAGCTGAAAAGAGGCTTCAGAAACTAGCAGTGTGATTCTGTTTTGAGATTATTTCATCTTTTTCAGGTCCAGGATTCGCCGTGGCTGGCAATTACACTTGTAGCTTGGTGTATCGGCGAGGTGAGTTTGTTTGATCTTCACTTCTCTATCAATCTTTTAGTATATTAAGGCAGAGAAATGCTAGTGACAGTTGAAAAGAAACATGTTACCTCAATGTTAGCATTGATTAGAGTGGACTGATATAGAAATGTTTAGCAGCAAACACTGATGTTATATGCAGTACAACTAGTTCTATTACCTTTCTAAAGAGCGCTTAACTATACAGCCAATTTTACTCTTTATGTGTTAACTCAAGTGATGGATTTTGGATGTAGATGATAAGATATCCTCACTATGCTGTAACTTGCATTGGTAGATGTCCCTATTGGCTAACCTATCTCAGGTATTACATTGAACTTTATATTTTTGTTTATGGTGTGAGTTCCCTGTGACAAAAAATAAAAAAATTCTGGAGTTGAATGGATTTCTTAATATGTTTACCATCCAGGTACACTGGATTCATCATGATTTATCCAACGGGACTAGTAGGTGAATGTGAGTGCTTTGAAAAGCATAATATGTAATTGCTCTAGATTTCTTCGTTAGTTTCTTCTTGTTGACTTGGATCAATGTTTATGCAGTGTTGATCATGTACAAAGCGCTTCCATATGTTAAAGAAAGGAACCTTTACGCGAATTTCTTCTCTGTTTTCCCCTTCAGTTACTACAGTTTCCTTTGGGTATGTTTATCTCTTCATTCTTCTTCTTCTCCATCAATAATACCCTTTTGGCTTGACTATCGTTTATGTATATCTTAATGAAGATGTGCACGTTATTTTTTTTAAGCAGCGTTTTGTATACTCTATTTCAGAAAACGTTTATTTTTCTTAAATATTCATGGCTTCGGTTTTTGATCTGCTTATGGCGTTTTTATTCAGGCCGTCCTCTTGGTTTACCCTTTCCTTTGGTTGAAGCTGTATCTCCAGCTGTTCAAACAAAGAAAGTCTAAGCTTGGAAAAGCAGAGAAGCATCACAGCGAGAGAAAGAGAATGTGAAAGTCCCTTCAATCATCTCCTCAGTTATGCTATCTTTATCCTTGTTTATGTTATCGCTCTATGTGCTTTTACTTTTTGTTTTCTCCATTAAAAAAAAGGTTAGATAATTTAATTAGCATGGCCATATTATCAACTTTACCTATTTTCACTTTAATAATTATTCGTAAAACTATTCATTTATTAATAATAGCAATCAAAATTAGTGTAAAAAAAGTTGTGAATTCAATCTAAATAAAAGGTTATGTCTTTCTATAGTATATGAAGTTTAAAAAAATTATTCGTTGGAAAACTAGAAATAATGCACATGTACAATGAAAATATGTTTATCATACATTAATATACAATAGAGTGTGATTAATTATTTTTAAAAAAATATTAATGAGCCTAAATTTTAATATATATAACATTTATTGGAAAAAAACTCGATCTAAGATAAATTAGAAAATGTAGCATTTTGTTTTAGTGTAATTTCATCATATTGTAACATGTGATGAAAATTAAAGACGTTTAAGATCTTGTTTGTCCATGTTTCTTTAGAAATTATATATTTATAGGGGTTAGTTCACATAATTAGATGGAATATGAAGTTTTATTAAATTATTCATTAAAATATTAGAAATGGTTCTCATGTATCATGAAAATAAGTTTAACATACACTAATAAAATTTTGTAATGTGATTAGGTATTTTTTTAATCAACATTAAATAGCTTACACTTCGGTGTATAGCATTTATCAGAAAATTCGATCTTTTTGTAGTGATTAAGTTACAGATTTCAAGATAAATTATAAAAATACAGTATTTTTATTTAATGTATAGATGCATCCAACACAAATATAGGATGAACATTAAGGATGTCTCACACCTTTGTTGTCATAATTTCTTTAGAATATAGATATTTCATTGGGTTTAGTTCTTTGATTTACATGGTATATATAATTTTATTAAATTACTCGTTGTAAAACTATAACTGATGCCCATGTACCAAGAAAATAAATTTTGAATACATTAGTATAAATTTTTTATTGTGGTTAGATATTTTAAACAACATTAAAGAGGCTAACTTAATTACAAAAAACATTTATTGGAAAACTTCGATATTTTTGTAAAGGTTAACCCACAAAATTTAAAATAAATTAGAAAGTATGGAACTTTTTTATAGAATGAAAATTAAGAATGTCTTACATCTTTGTTGTCCCAATTTTTTTCTAGAATATAGAGATTTCATAGAGTTTAGTTCTTTGGTTTACGTGGTATATGAAGTTTGATTAAATTACTAATTGAAAATTATAACTGATGCTAATATACTATGAAAATAAATTTAGGATACATTATTATAATTTTTAATGTGGTTAGAAATTTTAAACGACACTAAAGATGTTAAACTTAAGTAAAAATAGTTTTTATCCGGAAACTTCGATCGTTCGTAAAAATTAACCCACAAATTTCAAAATAAATTAGAAATTATGAAATTTTTGTATTTATATATAGCTGCATCCAACACTGATATAAGATGAATTTTAAAAAATTTTGATATCTTAGTTGTCTAATTTTTTTTGAAAATGGAGATTTTCTACCTCGATAGCTGCATCTACAAGTGATATAGGGAAAAAAAAATTTATAAAAAATAAAAGAAGTACATGTGTAATTTATCAAAAATACGCGATATATGTAGCCTCATTTTGAAATCTTACTTCACTAAGGATAACATATGTTTTGATATATATATATATATATATATATATATATTAAATGATTAATAGGTTCTAAAATCTGTATATTCCCCTATTATGAATCTCAAACCATGTTAAATTAACATTTTTAGAAAAGCATTTTTGTCAATTAGATGATCCAAGAGTTTTATCCACTTGATCAATTCTTTCGTTGGTTTTTCCACGATTTTAGAAAAACATTTCGTTGGATTTTCTTAAAGCTGAAATCATATCATAAAACCCAAAAGTCACAATAGTTTAACAAAATTTCCTTTCCAGTCTAACTAACTAAGACCATACAAGAGTCTTCAGTCAATTGTTTTTATTTTCCTTCTAATTTAATTTTTATAGAGCAGCATGTTTTCCTCTGCTGCACTGCAGTATTGATTACCAGTCAACTACTCGTGCACCTAAAGGAATGTGTTCGCAATTAATACCGAAAAAGTGCTCAAACTTTAGTATTTTGAAAAACATTTAAATAGAAATCTTTGAGAGAAAACTATTCAGGATTTCAACCCTTGGACCGACTTTAATGATAAGAGTTGTTATCACGAAAGGTTCTTATTTATTGGCCGGAACCACCAATGAGAGCATAATTAAAGTTGTGTCACAATGTAAATCATCTTAGACTGGATGACAATCATCAACATTAACAAAAACACTAAAGTTTTGTGAAATATCTTTTACTATCGAATCCAAACATCAAGTAAGCTAAATGATTGAATCATACTTTTAGTCTAATAAGTCTTATTATCATTTTTCTTATGTGCTATATAAGTTTGATTTCAAACAGACGTTTAGTTTTTGCATAATTTGCTTTTCAACATGTTTGAAATTTTAATAGATGTTGGTTCAGTCGTATAGACAGTAGATGAAATCGCTCTAATAGTCAAGCAAATATGGTTGGAGCTGAACCATCCGACAGCAAAAATGGTTGTGATAGAAAGCAAACTGTGCCAACTGTTGTGGACCACAACCATTCTAAAAATGGAACGAAATCATCGTTGGGAGGGTCGAAATAATATGTGTTGTGACAGAACATTTGAAGATAAGTTCAAACTGATTGGAATTGGTAGTCAAAGCATTTAGTATCCTCAAGGCGACTTTTAGACGAATCATTCAAAAGTGAAGACACGTGTAGTATGGTTTTCACTTACGGTCCAAGTCATGAAAGATGATAATTGTCTATATATGACTTGTATCTGTTGCTATGTGCCGTCCTAGACAATGCCAAAATCACGAGTTCCGTAAGGTTTGATAGGCCAACTAAAAACAATATTGCAAGTAAATAATATATAGCTCGCAGAAAATTGTAAATATTACTAATCTAGTTTATTATGATGTTTTTGTATAAAGATTAGGATTTAGAAGTCTTAATGTCTCTTCTCTTTGTCAGTATATCCTATGTGCTTTATTCCCATCTGATATTTGTATGGGTGTTTTTTTAACTTGTTTTGGTGAGTTCATTACAGGTTTCTCAAGTCTTTTTATTTGCATAATACTAGTGCATATGGTTAGATCTTTTTTACCAGTAAATGGCTTTCTATTAAAGTACCATATATTCTTCGTGAAGAAATCTATATTATTAAAAGAGAAGTACCAAATATAAATAACCCTTAATTTTATCAGTTATTTACAATAGAATGCCATTGAAATATTTATTGAACCTATATTTAAGCATGCTTGTCTTTTCCTAATTTAAATAATAGATTTAAGTATTTAATATCTTTTCATAGTTTAAGTAATAGATTTCCTTAATCAAATCTTCACCAAAATAGTTTCCTAATATATTTAGTATTACCATATTCAATATTTTAATATTTATTAGTAAGACATAATATGATATTTTTCTTTAAGAAATTATAGAAGTTACGGTTCTACATATGTTTATATATTTTAAGTATTTATAATTTTTTTCAAGGGATGATAAGATTTTGGAATTGAAGAAATTATGACCCACCTCTATATTATTTTAATTAAAAATTTAAAATTGATATCAATATATTTTATTAAATTTTTAATTTGAATTATTATAACTGTAAAGATTAATTTTCAATCAAACTTTATGCTTAAATATTATAAATACATCATTTAATATAAACAAAAACATAAAATAAATACCCGCCCGGTCGGGCGGGTCAAGGTCTAGTTATTAATTATATCAAGAGTTCAAGTTTATGTCTATACTAGTGGTCCGTCCGCGCTGCGCGCGGATTATCGGATATTTGTATTATTTAAAAGTTTTAAATTATTTCTTGGTTTGTAATGTAATATTTTTATTGTGTTTTGTTTATGAGAATGGTCTATTATGATATCAATGTGATGACATTGGGGTTAAATGGTGAATATTTGGAAATTATTTTAAAATTCTTGAGTCATAGATGTTATTTTTTTGTTTAACAAATTTTATTTTTTCAGGATCAGAGATAATAGCTATGAGAATATTTTTCAAAAAAATTTATTTGAAAACAAAGTCTAACAATTTATTCTCAAAGCAAAATTAAACAGAACCTTTGGAAGAAATTGAAGAGGAACATAAATGTCCAACTTACAATGAGAAACAAAACAAATAAATCAAAAGTGGAAGGAGTACGTCATCATGTTAATGGTAAGCACGTTTCCCGTATAGGCCTTCTTTTAGTTAAGGTGATCACTGAAGCCCATTATT